AGAGAAAATCTCTATTTCTAGAATTGCGTGAGTAATTTAAAGGACTAGCATATGATTTATAAAGTACATCTATGTAATCGCAAATGCGTTGGATCAACCTGCGAAAATATGACTCACGAAGCCAATTCGATGACGGAATATACACATGACTATCCCGTATTACGAGAAAGAGCGCGAGTAACGAGTTTGAAGTAACGTTCTTTTGATGACATCGAACGTGATGAAATATTGCTCAGTGAGACGCGTTAATTCATTTCTATCCGATGACGCGCCGCAGGTCGTGACAGTTGACGCGATGCTCGTGGAATTTAATCTATAATTATGATTTATAAAGGCCGCGCGCTGGCTGCGAATAATCAGAGGAGCGGGTTGCATTTAATCACAGACGCACTTGCATTCGTCGACTTGAGCATTCACTCGTCATCGTTATCCCTTTAGCATCGAAGGAACGCGTTAAATAGAATGTCTGATTCTAAGTGAAGAGTGAATTAATCGCGGGTTAATCGGCGATATAAAAATTTAGTGAAAATTCTGCGATTTTATTGGAGACTGATAAGTGCTCTCGCTAGTAAAAATAGTGCTTGCGGTAACTTTTGGAAAACTGGTATGATAATTAAAAAATAATTTGCGTTTTACTCTTTTCGAAAATTAAATTTCTGACGTTTATATTATTTCTCAAAAACGTTCAATTAACCGTGATTCATTCACAATCATAAAATTAAATCGAGAAAAATACTCTTTGGTCGGTTTAGTTGCTTTATTGATCGTTCTTCTTTGAATTCGATTATTTTTCGAAAAGTCGGTTGAAATAATAAACGGTTACATAGCTTTGCGTTGACAGCATTTATTGAGTAATCTCAAATATGACGTCATGTATTCGCGTATAAATTGTGACACAGCTTCGTGATATACTATATATTAACTATATGTCCCTGTATTTTTTATGTAAAAGCTCTTGTAGTAATAAAGCTATTAATCAGTGATATCATAAATCTTTTTATCTGCAGATAATATTCGGCCACATTTATTTTTGTTTGTCTATTATAACATCTTCGAAATTATATTAATATTACATATTTTGTATGTTATAGATTTTTTATTAAGAATATAAAATTGCGCTTAACTATTTACTTAGATATTTCGATTTCTTTGTTAAATGTTTTATGTTTTAAATATCTTTGTTGTATAATTAATAAATAAATAATAAATTAATTAATTAATAAAAATTAATTAATTAATTAATTAATAATGTTAAATATGATGAAGAAAAGAATATGATATTTCTTTGAGAACGACATGCTTTTTCAACATCAATACCAGATGATTTTACGGTCTGAATCATATTACACATATGTTTAGATATGAGAAAGCAGTTCGAGAAGATAATATCTATACTCATCTATCCGCTTCGTAGGTAGACAAAATCAAATCGCGGCCACTACTTACTGTTAATGGGATTAAATGGGTCAAAGAGTACTTTGTTATGTAATGTACGCTGATAACCGACCGATTATAATTTTACACGCGTTACGCGTATTATCCAACACGCGTGCCTATAATTCAACTTTCGCGCATATCAGATTATAATTAAGGGACAATAAAATTAGTCTGCACAGAAGAAGATTATGACAAACAAAGTTTTATAAAACTTAAAGTAAATTTAATAATAATAAAAAATAGATAAATGTTTTATTTAAAAGTTTATATTTAAAAATATCTTAAATACATTAAGAAAAATTACTTTGGATTAAAGTAATTAAAAAATGAATGTTGTTTTTATTTATGGTTATGATGTCATTACTCGAGAAGAAAGAAAGAGAAAAAAATAACTAAAATATATAATCTATGATTTTCCTCTTGCGACAAAGGGACTTTAAATCTCTTTTCAAGGCTGGCTGTAAAGTGGGCTCGTTAATTTGAAGACCCTAAAACAGTCGTATATCTTAACCTTGGTAACCTTAGAAATACTTGTGGAGTTGTGCCAGTTTCTAAACTGTTAGTTAAACGAACTGTCTATCTTTCTCAGAATGTCAACTCCATTTATATTAATAAGTGTTTAGATTCCATTTAGCTTATATTCTTCAAACTATTTTGCGCTGTTTGCAATTATTATAATGGATTAACAACGAGAAAACACGAAATTTATTATAGTTTTGTATTATGATTAAATGCGGGATCAAACTCTAACAAAACAAAAGTAGGAAAACAAACAAAAAAATAAAAAAGTTTTTCGCATGCATATTAAATGGCAATTAATCTTATAGTAATTCAGTTTAAATACTTGTGAGACATGCCGATTATCGGATCACATAGTAAATCGTGATGCCATAAACGGCATTAGTTACTTAACGTGCGTCCAATGACTCTCGGCTCTCTCTCGTGATTATTTTCGTGAAATATATCAAACTCGCAATGATGTAACTTTGGACCAAGTCCAGAAATCGCTCTCAGATAGATGAGCCACGTAGCCCGAAGGTCGCTTGCATTTCACTTTACAGAATTATTATCAATCATCCATTTGAAATGTTCGTAAACATTTCTGCCGTCAATCTCTTTTGAAACCAACACAACTATCTGCTTAACTTTCTGCGTATCGCACTTTACGTGACACATCTCGCGAATTTGCGTCTCAATGAGCGCCACACATATATATATATATATATATATATATATATATATATATAAAACAAATAATTTATAATAAATAATTTTAAATTATTCTTCTAATATGTTTTTGCACTGTAAAGGACTAAAGAAACGATTAAAATGCACAAATCCAAGTTTTACATAATTAAAACTTTTTTTATATAATTAAAAAATATTAATATATACATAAAAATATTAATATATTATATGTATATATTAAAATTAAAAAATATTTATATATACATAATATTCATAAATTTATAAAATAAAAATTTGCATATACATACACACACTCTTTTTAATTCATCTAGTTTTTTACTAGAGACTGAAAAGTCGCATTGTTGACGTTGATTAAATGAATTAGTCGCTGAATCATATTAATCCCGAATTGTCAAATAATTTAGATTTCGTAGCTTTTAAGTAACATTTCTTTAGATCTGCTCGAGATAAGCGCGAGGATCCATTGTTATTGAGAAAAAGAATTGACAAGAATCGATATGTGTGTCTTGTATAGTCTTGATTTTATAAATTTATGAAAATATATATATATTAATATTTTATAATTATACGAATCTCTTACTGAGACTCTCGTGGGGTGCGACGCTGATGTCATGGGTCAGTTGTCAACGCAAAATGCATCGAGACGTTGCACCCATATCCTTTTTATGCAGCTTGCGGTCTCTTAACTAGAACTTTACGAGCGTAAACTTTCGTTTACTTTTGTCTTCACGCCAATTAATGTAGTTATTTGCTTTTGCCAGACGAGGGGGCGAGATTCTATTATGATGATTGGCCTGATAATTTTTTTCCTCATTTAAATTTGTCGTTTGTAAATGACCGTTTATTTTGCCGGATGCGTTGATTGACTATGAAAACACTTTGTGGCGTTTTAGGGAAAAGGGGTCAAACGGACAGACTTGCTTACGCATTCTAGGGTGCGCGATATTTGCATTAATTGCTCGTTCCTCGATGAACGCGCTTGTCGGATTCGTCCTCTCCGAGAATCTGCGGTCGACAACAATAAAGAGATTCTTTATATTCTCTCATCTGTATGGAGAAACACTTGCCGATACGGATTTCGAAAGTATGTAGAAAAGAGAATATGTTATGATAATTCATTAAGTACAATTTTATACCTGACACATTAAAAATATTTCACAGATTAAATTCTAATTTTGCGATTCTTCGATTTTATTTTAATGAACATTTCTTCCTTTTTTAGTATTTTTAATGAGATGCAAAACTACCTCAAAGTCACGCATTAATAATTAATTAAATAATGTATTCATCTTTCTTTTTATAAAGATGCCTATTTTTAAAAAGTATCATTTTATATGCTTAATTATGTATTTAAGAAACACGTATATTTAAATTTAATTGTAAGTACCATCGGCTAGAAAATTAGTATCGCTACGCAAATATGCAGCCTCTCCGACATCAGGAAGCTGAAATCATGATCCTCGTTCCAGTCTGGTAAATTTCATCAATATTATAATGTAGCTGATTCAAGTGACACTCGTTTTAGAGTTACATGATGCGTAATAGATGATGCATGGACCGATCATGCGGGTTGCAGATGTTGAGTGCAGCTTCGAGGAATCTCGAATTGTTGTTGACGAATGGATTATTCCAAAACAACCTTAAATTCATAAGATTTTTTAAATATTAATGTTTTAAAAAATCTGTCTCTAACAATAATATTAAAGATAATTTAAAAAATGAAAAATTAAATATATTAAAATGATAATATATTTATTGTTACTTTTACTCAAATTGAACTCCTACAATAAAGCCTACAGTTATCATTAGACTTTGCGAATAGATGCGACAGAAGTATTAAAAGTTGAATTTTGTTCTCTATTCTTAAAATCCAAAAATACAAATTTCACAAGTCTAAAAAGATTTCCATCATTTACTGTAGAATGTCGTAGGATGACAAATCGTGTGGCATTTAAACGGCCAACGCCTTGAAGTCGTTCCAAAGCAGACGGGATGACGCGTCTCGGTCCCAACATTGCAAATTCTTGGCAGTATTATTGTTGTCAATTGCCAGCTGTTACCGAATCTTACATACCTTGCACGTGCACATTTGAATGAGTTACGTGACTCACGGGTTTGATGCTATCATTTAAAGTTACGCAAGATTAATAAAAGAGACCATAACATTAAACTAAAGTTAGATAAAAATACATTGCAAAACATTAAATCGTCATCTCCTAGATGTATTCTCTATAATACAATTAAATAAAACTGACATACATTACGTAATAAACTAAAAAAAATAGTAAACATAGATCTTTCCGCACAGTTTCGCAAAAAAATATTAATTGATAATTGATTAACAATTGTTTCAGGATGTGGACCGTACACTGCCCGAATTTAGTGTTCATCGTCTTCGTATTCTTACCTTCCATCGCGAGAGGTATCCCGGATTATTCTGGACTGCCAATAGGACCATATTGCGCCTCGAGGTATCCTGGGGGCAGCTGTTGCCCAGGACGACAGGATGATTGTAGCGCACCGATTCTCACGACGTTGTGCTACTGCGATGATTTTTGCGATCGATCCCGCGAAGAAGACTGCTGTCCGGATTACTGGTACCATTGCAGAGGGATCGTGCAGAATGTCACGTCACCACCCGAGGAGATAAGAAGTGTGTATATTTTTTAAATGTATATAAAACTTTATTATTTATTATTACGCACATATATGCAATAACTTTATTATTACGCACATATATGCAATAAAAAATATATAATAAAATATAATAAATAATAAAATATATAAAATATATAAAATAATAAAAATAATAAAATATATAATAAAAAGAAGTTTAATTTATTTACAGAAAAGATAAATTTTAAAGAGATATCATAAGATTGTTTATAGATTTTATATATATTATTAATTATTTATATATATTATTTTATATATTATTAATATGATAAAAAAATTTATAAATATAATAAATTATATTTTCTAAAAATTTCTCCTCGTGTTGTTTCAGGATGCTACTTCCAGGGAAGAGAGTACAATCATGGACAAACGTTAAAAGTTAATTGTAACACATGGTAACATCTCCTTTAATGTGTAATAACGGGTTTGAGAGAAAGAAAGAGAAAACAAATCATATAAATTGAATCTATATTCCAGTAAATGCTCCTCGCTTGGTAAACGCGCCGAAGTGCTCTGTGAGGAGAACCGATGTTTGATCGAGCCGGAATTAATGGAGGAAATCCATTTGCAAGGACCTACTTTAGGATGGCAGGCAGGCAATTATTCCGAATTCTGGGGAAGAACCCTTAAGGACGGCGTACAACTTCGTCTTGGTACTCTCAATCCTTCGCAATCCGTAAGTATTTAGAAGTATTTTCAAAATTTTATTACACACGATCAAAAAAATGTTACGTGCGTTAATATAGAATAATCGTATAAAAGTTTTCTAATAAAGTAAATCATTATTATACCTTGATCATAATAAAATTCTCTAAGTTGAATGAAACATACATTACTCAAGAATAGATAAATTTCAAGATCGCAAATGGAATTAAAAGTTTGTAGGAGAAGTACTATAGCTCGATAATTTCGAAATAAAACAACCTTGTTCTTAAAACGCGCGATGACTACGTATAGACGTCAAATTGTCTCGAAAGATTAGGTCAATTGCTCCGCTTGTGCAACTAAGGCTAAAGTTCCATGGCTAAAGTAATCTCTTGTACTTTGCTGCGGAGGTTTTATGAATAAAAAGGTGTCTGAATGACTCAGCGTCGCTTGCAAGCAGTACCGAATTTAATCCTCCAAGATTCCCGAAGCCATTGCCTGAGAGTATATAAATATTTTCAATTATAAAAAGAAACAGTTTTCTCAATACATAAATGAACAAAGATTCGCGAAAAAGATTCTAGGGCTGATCTGTCAAAATCTGTCACGTCATCCCTTTCGGTTTTATTTTATGTAGGTGTACAAAATGAACCCGGTACGACGTATTTATGATCCGGATGCACTGCCACGAGAGTTCAACTCCAGAACGCGCTGGCCACGCGATATATCTGACATTCACGATCAAGGATGGTGCGGCGCATCCTGGGCCGTGTCCACCGCCGATGTCGCATCTGATAGATTCGCTATCATGAGTAAAGGCGCCGAAACCGTGGAGCTAAGCGCACAGCATCTGCTCTCTTGTAACAACAGGGGGCAACAAGGCTGCAAAGGCGGATATCTCGATCGTGCCTGGCTTTTTATGAGGAAATTCGGGTAAATGGTTACATATAATTTAATTTTTTAAATATTAAATAACGTTTTCCATTCTCAAACATACTTGTAGTTTAAATCTCTCTCTCTCTCTCTCTCTCTCTCTCTCTCTCTCTCTCTCTCTTAATTATATTTAAAACTAAAAATCTTCATTTTATTATATATATAATTAATTAATTCTGCAATAATTTAATGATATTCTGTAGATGCTCGATTTTGAAATTTAATGAATTATTTATTTATTCAAAGAGTTGCATGTCTTTCATTTATCTTAAAATCATTATACTATATGTATACTAATCTATAATAATATCTTTATCTACTGTATGCATAATACTATATCTTAAGACTCATGCGATATTTAATTTTATTCTATTTGGTTATATTATTACCATGTTGTAGACTAGTGGACGAGGAGTGCTATCCTTGGACTGGTAGAAATGATCAATGCAGACTACGTAAAAGAAGCAATCTAAAGACCGCTGGTTGCCAAAACCCGCCAAACTCGCTAAGAACTGAGCTGTACAAGGTCGGCCCGGCCTATCGTCTAGGCAACGAGACTGACATTATGCAGGAAATCCTGACCTCCGGACCCGTGCAAGGTAACTGTTATAACTTAAATCCTTAATCGAGATTTAACATACATACATAAAGAGAGAGAAAGAGAATATATTGTTGTAAAAATATCTTTCTCTCTCTCTCAATTGATATAATATTATATAATATTTATATAAATTTAAAATAACATTTTAAAAAGTAATATCCATCTCTTTTCAGCTACCATGAGAGTCTACCAGGACTTCTTCGTTTATCAGAGCGGAGTATACAGGCACTCTCGAAGCGCAGAATTGCACGATTCCGGTTATCATTCGGTAAGAATAATCGGATGGGGTGAGGAGCCGTCTTATCGCGGTCCACCGCTCAAATATTGGGTAAGCTTACGATATACCACAGTTATACGATAACATTTATAAGCTATTTTTAAAAAATCAAAAAAGAAAGCTTACGAATTATCATATTTTTATATATAATTTATTGGATAATATCGCTTATAATATCTTGTAGACAAAACAAGATGTCCTAATTTTGAAACATTTTTTAGACTTGCAAATTGCTTCTTTTTCTTTTCTCTATAATTGTAAAGAATTTAAATATCTAATCTCCTTTTCAGTTGGTCGCGAATTCCTGGGGACACAACTGGGGAGAGAACGGACTTTTCAGGATTCAAAAGGGAACGAACGAGTGTGAGATCGAGTCGTACGTGTTGGCGGTGTGGGCCAAGACAATATAAAAAAATAATATTAAAAAAAAATAAAATAAAATACCAAAGTACTAAAATATCCGACAATTGTTGGTGCATTTATTGAATCTCTGTCATTGATCCGTCGTTGTGAGCAATGACGCGATTATCTCGAAAACGAGAAACGATACGATACATCGATTTTTGAAAGTATATGTGATCCAGTGCCCAGTGCCTCCATATATACCTTATTATATATAAGATTGAAAGGAAGGGAGGGATAAAACGGGGATAAAATTGTTTATAAATATTTAATCTAAGTACAAACATATAGTCGAGAAAAATATCGTCGTTATTTTCTCGTTATTTGTAGACAACACAATAAATAGATAGAAACGCCCGCTTCGTAATGATTTCAGAATCGACATTACTGCGAAAATCATGTAATATTCATATGTCAATGAATTGAAATTTGTGTAATAAGTACTAAGTGCCATGCGCTTGAAATAAATTTTGTAAGTACATTTCTTTACTGCATTAAACAATCAATATTTCCCTACACATGAAGTTGAACATCACACAAAGGCTTCATATTAATTTTAAACAACTATATATTTTTCAAGATAGAAAGTTTTCTTTATATTTCATATAGATACGCGTGCATTCGATATGGGATACACATATTGCTCTCATAAAATAAATGGCAGTGTGATGATATATTGGAATGTGATATCATTAATTATACTTTTAATAGAAAGTCGATTTTTTTACGCACCAGAATAAACATGTGCAGACATTATTTTAATTCTCTTTGATCGCAATCCTTATGCAAATTGACTAAAATAAATCTATATCAAATACACATTCGGTACAGAATAAGAATATTAGGCACTCTTGAGGAATAATTGTGCATGTTATATCAACAACTAGAAGGAACTCTCTTACGTGATTTTTTTTTACTTTTAGACTACGACGCTTCGCCTGTTGCTCTTGCAATGGGGACTGTACACTTCTAATTTATCCCGCGGTGTGTTCATCGCGGAATAATCAATGGGAAATGGTATAGTATTATCGCGTATCATGCAGGAATCCGTCATACCTAGGAAATGTTCTCCCGGACCGAACGGGCCGCGACCGAACAGAAAGTTGGCGAACACTAGCTGATACTGCGTCCAGCCGAGAGGATGATCTCCATTCTTTTAATAAATTTCTTATTATTATATTAAATTCCAAGAGATAATTTAATTTAAAAAAATGCGAACGAAAATTTTAAACATAATTTTAATCGAAAATTTTAATCGAAAATTGCTTAGAAGAGTAGAAGCGCATTTCTTTGTTAATCGCATCAACTTACCGAAGTCATAGAATCATAAGCGATATCCAAACATTTGTTTATCCTGTCGGTGTCTAGGCCGATTACGGATCCATAAAAGGCCGCGAGCTCCTTCTTGCTAATCATTCCGCTACCGGAGCTGTTTATGGCGAGAAAGAACACCCTGGGCATAACTTTGATCCAGAATGGCATATCGTTGTAACTTGCACCCTCCGGCGGTGCGACGATTTTCGCCCACCAGGACAGCCAATCGTCAAGATCGACTTTTTTATCCGACTCTACGGACTCCTTTTTGTCTGGAAGGATCAATCCGGCGAATCCGTTCTCGATCTCCAGCAGTCTCAAATATTCCGGACCATTCCATGACCAATCCGCAAATCTTCTTAAACGCTTTTTCAATTCCAAGAAAATAATTGTTTCTTTTTATTTATTTCAAATTCTAGATTGTTTTAATATTTTTTCAAATTTATTGATAAATACATATGTAATTATAAATCAATAATTTTAATTTAATAAATCATTTTTCGCGTACATTATTAAGTTCTTAGCAGAAGATAAACATTTGTATATTTTTCAAAAAAGCATAAAAATAGAAAGAAAATTATGATAAACTAACTAACTTTTATTAATTATTTAATTTTATAATCATTTCAATAACTATTTCTACAAATTTTAAAGTAATACAAAAATTGAATTTTTTAAACCCTACCTCCGAAAGTAGTGCAAAATCCTTTCTGCTGATATAACCGTCTCTATCGTGGTCCAAGAGATACGTAAAAAAATGAGAGAACTTATCACGCTGTGCAGGTGCTAAGGAGTCTGAACTTCCGATTTTACCGAGCTCATTAATGGCAGACAAACTATTATCGCTCGGAAAGCGGCTTACCCAGGTCGCTAAATCACAATAATTAATCATGCAGCTTTAATTTAGATCGTCTGTATTTTTATTGTCGCAGAACAATGGAAAAAAATTAATGTGAACTATTGCATAATTGTATCTTATTATTTCCTCTTACTGATAATAATTCAATATTATAAAATAGTCTTTCAATTTTGAATAAGTAGCAAATTTTTCGCGATCTCCTATCTAAGATCGACATATACATAAAATTCAATTCAAATAAAATTCATTTAAAAATCATCTGTGGAAGTGAGTTACTATTGTTATTGTTTAAAAAACAATCGCAGACATTAAAGTATTTTTTAAACAATAATTCAAACTAATCAAGGAAGAAACTAAAGTAAAGATCACTCGGATATACTCACTCCACACGTGCACGCTCCAGTTGGGTTGCTCCAGATCAGGCATGACAGCGGGAACAATCTCGTCGACGTTGCTGCTGGTCGTTCGCCATCTCTTCAGCAGGTCTTTGGTCCGGTCGCGGGTCCGATCGCACGCCTGTCGCCAGTTGGTGATGAATTTTCGTGGTACCTTGAGCGCATTGCTGTCGTCCAGACTGATCTCCTGGCTGCCGAGCGAGCTACGTTGACTCTTATCGGCAGATTCGCCACCGCCGCCGCCTCCGCCTCCGCTCGACGTGCCGTCGTTCTCCGGGTAGTAGATGGGGTCCTTTATGCTGCCCGAGCGACTCTCCATGACGGACTACCTGGCCAGCGTCATGCCTCTAGCTGATCGACGTTATGTATATATTTTATACAGGGCAACTCACTCTTGAAAATAATCAATTCCACAGGCCGGAGAGGTCACCGGGTCGCTCGATATTGCGACCGCGCCGTTTCGCCGCCGGAATTCTCTTCGGTATGCAGGTGTGACGATAGATACGTGTCTTTTCGAACTGTCATATATTCCTTGCCGCGTTTTCTTTCCTATGTTTTAATGTATTAATGTATTATTAGAGTTATTTTATTAGAGTTAAATATTCTTATTTATCTTAGTTAATATACTCTTATTTTCAATACAAAGGAGAACCAACATATATAAAATAAAATAGAAAAGTAAATTTAGTCATCAGGAATTCATAATTGTAATGTGTGTGCACTGTAAGTAATAAATAATTGAGAGAGGAAAACTATCTCTGAATCAATTTTCGCTTTGAAATGAGCAAATTATATTTTAGCAAAGTCGAAAAGAAGTCGGAAAATAATATAAATGAAATTATTTTTTAATAAATTCTACTAAATATATTTCACAAATATTCTGACATTATAACAATGTAAGCAAAAGATGTCCTCAAATATAATCAATGTTAATAAAAAATTCTTAACCCTAGAGTAGTATTTTGTTACATATGTACAAGAAGAAAAAATACTAATGAATATTATTATTATTAAATATAAATAAGAAGCAGGAAAAATAATAAAAAAGAAGAAATTGAAAATAAACTATGAATTTACTATTTAAAAATTAAAAATAATAAATAAAGGAAAAGAGAAAGGATAAGCTAAGAGGATCATGCACATTTAAGACAATTATGTTTAAAAAGGTGTGAAAGTATTTTAAATATGTTACATTTGAAAAAATTAATTTTGGTACTACAAATGTAATATGTCATATATATGCTGCTTTTCCAATACATTGTTGGATTGGAGTGAAAATTATGAGAGGGGAGCAAATGATCTTACAATCCGACGTAATTTTGAACTTGACCTAGATGTTGCATATAGTCGATATAGAGTTCCACATGTAATCCTTTGTACGAATTATGAATTGTATATATCATGGGACATATTTATACCTCGCCAAAGTTGTGTCATGAATTTCAAAGTTACATTTGCATGAATTATTTACGTATTGTCTACATGATGTTTACATACGGATTTTTTTCATGTAAATTATATAAATTATAAATCAAATGTCAGAATGTAAGAAAACAATAATTATAAAGTAATATTTATATGTGATATAATAATATGTTATATCAATATTATATATATATATATATATATATATATATATATATATATATATCATATATATAATTTATTTTTTTTTATATCGGTATAAAATCCAGTTCGATCCAGTTGGATCTTTCATTGATTTTTCGTGGCACTATAAAATATTAAAATTGTATACTATATTATTACTAAAAAATATTAATATTATTATGTTAAATTATGTGTAACATAAAGGAAACATCAAATATCCACACTTAATAAGCCATATTTCATAAAGCATTCATTTTTTACATAAATGATATGTGAAACAAACTTACATTATATTTTAGATTATTATAATAGATTATTATAGTTTACGGAGATAAATGCCTAATCCTGGTCCCGCCATTTGCCTCCAAGTCGAAACGAGATTATCGATAGATATTTATCATGCAATTCTTACTTCTGTTTCAGAGGTCTCTGAGAACACAAACGATGAAAGCGCTCATAGCGGTCATTTTTCATTTCATGCGAAAGTGGCTCCATCCTCCACCAGCGAGCACCGAATTCTTTCTTTCTGCTTCCTTCCATTACGATCCGTGTGAGGTGAGTTGTGTTCATTGGAAATCATGTTTAATCGCAAACATCCTGAATTTTACGAGAATCGAGATGCGAGGAGTCTGATCGCTAAATTTTTCACAATTTAAGATATTTGTATATTTTCCGTATATTTTTATATCTGGCATTTATATCGGTTATAACGAGAACGCTAACCTCGCAGAGATTCAACCTCAAACTCGGACTCATATTCGACACTCTTTTGTGAAATTTATATATTTCAAAGGCATTTCTTTCGCGAATAATATAAACGCATATACTTTTACTGGAACGAATTATTTATATAGAAAGAAAAGGTTGCGCTTAGCATCATGGTATCTGAATCATTGGATGCACGGATTCTTCATTATTTAACGATCTGTCGATCATCTCTGCGTAGAGATCAATAATGGGGGCGTACAAGTATATGCAGGAGTTGTACCGCAAGAAGCAGAGTGATGTGCTTCGTTTCTTGCTGCGTATCAGATGCTGGCAATACCGTCAATTGACCAAGCTACATCGTGCTCCCAGACCATCCAGACCTGATAAGGCTCGTCGCTTGGGTTACAAAGCTAAGCAAGGTAAATTTATTTATTAATCAGAATTATACTTTAGGCTTATATAAAAATATTTGATTTTTTAGAAAATTTTTCTTGTATAAAGGCAGTCAGTATAATATGTACATGTTTGTAATATCTACTTCATAGATATATATACATATATCAACAAAGTTTTATTTCCGGTACTGACATATACTTACTATTCTACGGCAGTCATGGAGACCCAAATTTGTCGAATTGTTTCTTTTTTTAGATTTGGACATTTTATACTACACACTTCCTATCTTGTGAGGAATGGCTCCATGACTTGGTAAATTTTTACATTGGCCTCAGTTTTATAACAATATTATTATACTGAACTGCCTTTGAACTTATGTGTCTATTAGTATAAAGTTAGAACAAAATATAAGATATAAATGATGATTTGGTTCATGCACCACTCTTATCATTTCATGAAGAGATTTATACCATACCACCTACTGATATATTTGATTAATTAAAATTACGTTGTATATATGATAACAAATACAAAATAAACAGTACTTTATTTTTGCGATAGGTTTTGTTGTCTTCAGAATTCGCGTGCGTCGTGGTGGGCGCAAGCGTCCAGTTCCTAAGGGTGCGACTTATGGCAAGCCCAAGAGCCATGGAGTCAATCAGTTGAAACCTACAAGAAAATTACAATCAGTCGCTGAAGTAAGTTATTCAAATATACATATATAAAGTTACAATTAAATAAATCTTAAATATATTAAAATATACGATGAACTATATTATACTGTATTATCCTTATATTTAAATAAGAAAACTTTTCTAATTGTAGATTTCAATCATATATATATAAAAACATTTCTAAAATTTTGTTGATATTAATTAACTGAACAAGTCATATTTTTAGAAATGATGATAGAACTTCTTTAATGATCAACACTGATTCTTTTCTTCCTTGGATGTCTGAAGTTGTCATTTATAAAGATTATCATTTTGTTTTTATATTAGTATTTCTTATTAAATACTATTTTACAGGAACGTGTTGGTCGTCGTTGCGGTGGATTGCGAGTGCTAAACAGCTACTGGGTGGCTCAAGACTCTTCATATAAATATTATGAAGTAATTCTGATCGATCCTGCCCACAAGGTAATATTCAAAATTGATTGATTCTGTATTATTCTTAAAATAACTATATACTGTTTTATTATAGTTATTGATCTTTTTTACTTTCTTATGTTTGATATATTTATATTAATGATTTTCTTTTTTAATTCATATATGATGATCTTATATCGCGAATGAATGTTTAATGTTTAATTTTTTTATCTTCCTTGGATGACTGAATACAATATAAATTTTAAGAACATCTTAGGAATTCATTTACAATAAATTAACATATTTTTTGCTCTTATTTCAGGCAATTCGTAATGATCCTAAAGTGAATTGGATATGCAATGCAGTGCATAAGCACCGTGAACTTCGTGGTAAGACCTCTGCTGGTAGAAGCTCGCGCGGATTAGGCAAAGGACATCGTTATTCACAAACGATCGGTGGCTCCCGTCGTGCCGCTTGGAAACGACGAAATACGCTATCTCTTCGCAGAAAACGATAATTATTTGTAATGTGCAAGATACATCATTTTATTGTTATGCATTATGTTATATTAATATTATGGTGTGTCCTGTAAAAAAAATAAATAACCTTTTCTTTAAGATTTTAATATTTCAGTGTGCAAATATCATTAATTCCCATTTTTTTTCGATTATTTATCGAAAGAAATTTCAATTATTTTGAAATTTCTTTTTTTTTTTCGATTAAATATTTGCAAAAATATTATTTTAATGTATTCCATTTTATTACAGTAATATTTTAATAAAAAAACTGTAAATGATAAACATAATAACAGAAGCAATTATGAAGAATTTTTCTAATTGAGATTTTTTTATTTTTCGATTATACGCGCGCATTTTTTAAAACAATATAATAATTCATTGTCCAGGTCCAGATAATGATTTGTCCATAAACTTCTTTTTCGCAAAACAGAGCCACCATTTACTTGGTTTTCCATCCTCACCATATACTTTTTCAACAATCCTAACAGCTGTTTCTTGTCTGATTTGATGAAGATACTGTCTCATAAGATCTATAAAATTACATAAAGTAACATTATATTAACTAAAAATATAAGGGAAGTGTGTATTATTATTTTTGAATTATCCAATAGTATTTGATTGATACTTGCCTGCTTCAGTAGGACTAGTTGGTTTAGCATATACAGAATTCAAGGGAAAACCAGAATCACCAGGTATATCAAATTTGGAGATAGCAAGGGAAAACATTTCATTCATAGCTTGTGGTTGCGTTGCACATTTTTGTAACTTCTTTAAGCATTCGGTAATAAACAGAGTGATATAGATTAAAACTCTATCAGCCTCGCTCTGCAAAAAAACAGTTTCTCACATATACAGCATTATATTATTTCACAATGTAAAGCAATACCTTAATCTCATATGTCCTAAAGAATACATTTGCTTTAAAGAAATATAATGCTTCATCAATTATATCCTGTTCTTTGTTGTTAAAAGGAGGTGCAGGGCCTCTGAATGTGGTCTTGATTGGTAACAGTGCCATGTTTCCAATTGTGCCATGATTTTTTGTAAAGCTCGAATGATACGCCTAAAATTACAACAATATGTAAATAAAAAGTTCCGAATTATAACTATGCATTAGAAAGAAAGAGGGAATTGTATGACTAATTCATTATTAATAATATATATATATATATATATATATATATATTTCATTACACATAGTAAGTCTTATATATATATATATATATATATATATATATATATATTATTTATCATTAAATATATTAACTAATATCTACATGATAATTTTCAAAATATTTAATATAAATGAAGATAGAAATTGAAACAAAAATTTGGACTGAAGAGAAAATATAAATAACATGCACTATGGTTATGTTACTCGGGTAACGCCCTCACAATTATTTATTTTGAAATAATGCTCGATTCTATATTAATGTATTAAAATTTATTATAACTTACAGGCATGATGAGAGAGATAATACAATAACTGATTTTCTAAAAGTTAGTTTCGTCTATGGATGATACATCAGTGTGACATTCTGCGATACGTCACTACTGAACAGCAAGCACTGATAAGCAATTCCTAGATGGCCAGATCTCGCTTCTCGCTTTACCATATGATATTTATGGATGTATTACATTAGGCTGCTCTTCTACAGCATAATTCATAATAAAAAAAAGAAAAGAAAAAAACTGTGTCAAAATCTGCATGTCTTGTGCTTAGAAATATTATAAAAAGATTATTCTTTACATACTTTAAAGCTATTACGTAATAAAAATTTAAATTAAAAATTAACAAAATATCAAAATGTAATTAAATACAAAATTAATTAAGATGTTAAAATATTTTTAAACATATTATTTTTATATTTTTGTACATATTTATTTATTTGAAATATTGAATATTATGTATTTTGTGTATGTGTGTGTGTCGACATAGTTCTTTTATTTTTGTACAATTAATAAAATTATAGTTTCGCAACAGAATACATTTCAATAAAAGTATTTCAATAAAAGCGTATTAATTGCGATTAGATGTTTCGACATTAAATTATTCTGTAAAAAAATTATTATTCTGTAAAACTATCGCGAATAAAACTAATGCGAATATATAAACATATGCTATTGAAATGCGATTAAAATAATTCATCATAGGACAAAATGCAGATTTATTTATAATACAAATAACAATCGGCAGTAATATAACAATTATATAATAATTAAAATTTACATAATTAATGCATTAGAAATAAAATGCAAATGCTATTCGATTGAAAAAAAAAGCATTAATTGAGATGATTTGATTAAAATTATAATTATTTAAAGCTATTTAATCTCATATTTTTACAAATATATAATTAACAATGCACGCATAAAAACAAAGAAAATTTTCCATGTAATATAAAGAGAAACATATGTTTTCATATATGTTCTTTGTTTTATCATTAACGTTTAAATATCTAGAAAATATATCAACAGAAGTATTATGCATTATCAATCATTATATAGAAATTTGAGATTTATAACTAATAAATTTATGCTATGTGTGTGATTATAATATTTATAATTTATACCCTGCAATATTATAAAGATACTATTCATATATTGAAACATTGAGACAACTTCTTCTCTATTCGTAATTAAACAATTTAGTACTATTAGCATTATTGTACTACAAACTGACGAACTAATCTGTGGAAAAATTTTGTCGTTAAATCAATATTGTCACTTGCTGTAAACGCGTTACATTCACATGCTCATGATTGCAATTTTGAATAAAATTTATATAATTCGTATAACATTTCTATTTTTTCCTATAGAGACTTTTATCCTACAGAGATTTTTTGTTACTTCTATAAAAAGTTAAATATTGAATAGTATCACTACTTCATTAAGAAGTAAAATTCTTCGTTTTAATTAATCATATATTTTTATTTTATTTTACTAGGCACGTTCTAACTGAGATAATTATTGTATATGCACTTGTATAAAATAGCTTTTTTTTCAACCAAAGAAAGATGATATATAGTGTCAATAAATATATATATGATGTAAATCGTGTGTGTATATATATATATATATATATATATATATATATATATATATATATATGCATATTTCTGCTTTTGTCTCTTATTTTCTTTTCGCTATTTCGACTTATATGAATTGATTAAATTGATATATTTTGATAAGTACATTTTTCCAAAACTAGATACGTATTTTGGAACATGCTGCAATTGATATTTCAGGATATAATTGATATCTTTCAGAGAGCGAGATTAATAAATTCGATATCGCTAAATTATTAAAATTATTAAAATATTAATTATTATAATAAAAAATTAATATATACATATTCCTCACACACATACATACAGTACACACAACGTTTACACATTGTATTTCTTATCCTACATAAAAAATATAGTGACATAAAAAGAAATATTTTTTTCAATAAATTGCATTTTCATTTTCATATTCATTTTAAATGAATAATGAATAATTTCACAGCGAAAGAATTTCCGATGTCAAGATGCGAATTCAGAACGTAAGCATTGAAGATCGCTCGAAGAAACCTGCGGTTGAATATTGTGGGTTTTCTCTTTTATGAAGCAAAGGTACGCTCTCCGAATACTTATAGTGATCGCCGTACTCATGTCTATAGCTATCGTGTACCAAGCATTTTTGTAATGCAGCCTGTTGCTTGACACGTTCAGATGTTTGCAGATTTTTGTACATTTTGCTATACTCATCTTGTGCTATCGACTCATATTTTTGTTCTACAACGAACATCGATGAGGAATTATTATCCCTCATCTTCTCTACAAGTTTATTAATTGCAAAGGGAATTTTATATAGAATATAATAAAATTTTCGAGTAACGTACAACGAAAGCAACATATTCTTAATTGTTAATACACACCAAAACAAACTATAATATTATCTAATACTATCTAAAAAATAAATTTGATAATCTGATATTGTGACTATCTAATGATACATCCAATTTTCGAAAACAAAATTTTCTCTAATCAAAAACAACAAACTCCTTGTTTTGGCGACTACTATTATTATTTTAGCATAAAATACAGCATATTAAAATATGAGAGTTAATGGTATATAAATACCTGTTTTACCAACCATTCTGGCATTCTATTTTACTTGAAGGATTTTCCGGAGACGGATTATTTGAACTATTATTTGAACTTTCATCGTCTTTAACGAATCTTATCAAGAACATTGCCAATGCCCCTACTATGGGAGGAATGCCGGCTAAGAAGAAAGGCAGATCGTAGGTACCTATTGTATTTATAACATAATTAATTTATTTTTGAAAATAAATATATAACAAAATTTCAAGAAAAAAAGGATTTTTTCTTTTCTTTTGCTTCCTCATTCTCTATAGACGATGAAATAATTATTAAGAACGTTACCAGTGTGATCATACAGAAGTCCCGCGATGGGTGGACCAACTGTCAGAGGTATAGAGCACATTCCTAAAAGAAACCCAATAGCTTGAGTCGCTCCACTACGACCACAAGTATCGAACACAATCGGGCCAAGTAATGATATAAAACATCCGTCAAATAGTCCCATGCCTAGCGAGATAATCAGGAGCACGAGAAAGGACTTAGTGGTCGGAAGAAGCATCGTGAGGATGCCGATACTTATAAATGATATCTAAAGAAAACAAGAGTTCTATTTTTGACATCTAAATATCGAATGTCTTACGAAAGAAGGAAAGTGCAGCGTAAAATATTCTTCAGTTACAGTTCATTTACCTGTTGTAACAATATTCGATTTACTTTCGGCAAGTCAGCAATGTAACCGAAAATTAAACGGCCAATACCGGAAGTGATACCGATACACATAACAGGTAGTTTGCCATCAGCACCCTTGAATGTCGTAGTCACAAATTTTCCTATGTGGACATATGGAACGAAATATCTGCAGCAAAATACAATGAATAGTTTTAATATCTATACGAATAGATCTATATGTGAAGTTAAATAATTCTGTAATTAAATAGAATAAGAAGAATATAATTGTGCAATAGAAGATAAATAATATTCTCGTAAAAAAATAAAGTTCAAGAGAAAGCTTATCAATTTCGCAGTTGATAATCACCATAAATATCATTTCGAGAAATTTTTTAGACGAAAGTACTCAAATTAGTTTGTGACTGTATTAATTTATGGGATTATCTATTTGGGTTTAATCTTCGCAACTTGAGATGTTATTTATATATCATGAATCGTGATAAACCGAGAACATATTTCATTTACATCGAGAAGTAATTGGAGCTAAGAATGATAATTATGCCATCGACTCACCCAAAGAGAGCAACAGGAATAGAGACAGACCACACGACATATCGTTTTCTTTTCCAAATAGATACATTTATGAATTCTTTTAAACTATTTCGTAATGACTTCGCGTTATGTTGCGATTCATCTTCCTGTGGTGTATTCACTAAAAAAAAGATGATTTTTGAGCTTCTCATCTTCGTTATACACTATAGTTATTAACTATAGTTATTAACATTATAGTTATTAATAAACTCTAAATGAAATTTTAATATATTTCTAAATGTAATAAAAATTGTACAATTTCGCTTATAAAATCTACTTCACGTACATATTTAATTTTAAGAGTAATTAGGACGATAAAGCAAGTCTTATATAACAATCTTTATGTGACACTTTATACATATCCTCGTAAAAAATAAATAAAAATGAAAATAAAAAAAATCGATCGCAAATATTTGCAAACTTTGAAGAAAACTTACGTGGTATCGGCTTGAAAAGAATTGCACAAGCCATGATAATAGTCGTGAGTGCGGCCAGGCTTCTTAGTGTTCCTTCCAGACCTAAGTGCCGTAATAGATATTCTGTCAGGAACGGAATGAGTGTCGTGAATACAGAACTTCCGGCTGTGACGATGCCATTCACTAGGCCTAGATACTTTTTGAAATAATGACCCAATATCGCCAAACTCGGAGTGTAAGCGAGACTTGCACCGAGTCCATACATAACGCCATATGTTAAATAGAGCACTTCCACCTGATGAAACATAAAGGGATGTATTTTTTTTGATAACCGAGTTATGAGAATTAATTAATACATGAGGAAAATTCGATCAGTATCTTCTTTTTTCTATTACCTTATCTGTTAATAGCGAGGAAAGAAGCAGGCCAGCAGACGCAATCGCACCCCCTACAAAGGTGGTTATTTGGATGCCGAATTTATCCGTCAGCATACCGGCGATCGGCGATAGGAAAAATGTCATTCCAATAGTTAATGAGCCAACCAAAGCTGCAACATTTCATTTCGAATTAATTAACACAGATATGAGAGTCTTTTAAGATTAATTCAAAAGAGAATTTTCTCTCGATAGAAAAAAATTTCAAGGAAAATATGTGTCTGTGAAGCTGGCATGACAATCTACGAATTTTAAAAAAATATTAAGAGTTCTGATAGCACTCTTTATAATTCTACAGTTCCTGAAAAAAACATCCTTATCTCTAAAACATCAAAACGCGTTGAATATCATTATTTTTAGCAAGAGTTTCCGATAGTTCTGCTCAAGTTCAGCCTACATAAGCAATTTTAGATCTAATTATTGATATAATTATATATGTCATTCTAGATTCGCGAAATTAGCATTTTTCCGATTTCGATTTTTTAATATAAGAAATGCGGAAACTCTTTTTAATTTTTATCAGGAACTGTAGAACTATGAAAAATGCTATCAGAGCTCTTAGTATTTTTTTAAAATTCGTAGATTGTCGTGCTTGCTTCACAGACACGGAAAATATCATATTTCTTTTATAATTTTTTACATTATTATTTTATCTCCGAACTTTATGAATTTTGTAAGGTCCGTAATAGCCGTATTTTCTAACTGTTTGTTGATTTATGAATTTTTGCATGAATTATAATTTATCTTTTAAAGTTTTATTTAGGTAAAATGTGTACATTTATTATCAGAATTCATCAATGTGTCTTCACATTTCAATAGGCATAATTAAGGATTGAAATTCTGAGACAATAAACATACAATAATGGACGAGTAAACGATTATATATATGTCAATTAAAGATCGCGGTGAACAATAGAATGCATGTTGCAAATTAATAACGCGTATCTAGGCCGTATCATTTTATGAATTGTATTTCTTTTTCGGGATGAAAACGATTAAGTTATTTAAGCATCATCAGCAAGTAGCATGAATTAACCTTTATTACTATAAATGAATGTCTAATTATCGGACAATTTAGATTCTAGACAAGGGCATTACCCACATAAACAATTAATCTCGGTGATTTTAATTTATGTATCGAGAGAATGATTCAATCTTTAACTACTCAGTTGGAATAGATCTAAACACGAAAAGGATAAAATAAAAAGAAAGAGAGAGAGAGAGAGAGAGAGAGAGAGAAAGAGAGAGAGAGAGAGAGAGAAGAGCGAACATATAACAATTTATAATAATAATAACAAAAGACACCGCTCATGTAATCGACAGCGTTATCGAAATAGACAAACGGATCTAAAAGCATAAAGAATTCAGATAATGAGGTTCATCGAACTGCATATGCTTGTGATATCCACGCGCGATCGGTTTGAAAAACTGCGATATAATTATGAGATGCAATTATAAATTCCGGCCGGCGCCATAAATTATCAATTGCTGAATGCATGATATCCAAATCAATACACACAAATATATGATTAAACATTTTTTAAACCTCGAAATACATATATGATTTATCCTACTAATCCTAATTTATCCTACTAATTATCTTACTAATCCGATGTTAGTTAATTAGATTCAAAGATAAAATTATGAAATTCTACGTATAGTTGTTACGATTTTAAAAGCTGTTACCCATGAGATATCGTTTGGCTGTTATCGAGTAACACAAAATATTTCTATAAGCACATTAATGTCTTATTATTAAATGAATGATTTTGAGATTGATACATAATTATCATAATCTGCGCAAAGTATAAGAAAATGATGTAAATAATGTATGCATTTGTATTTGTATAATTTCTTTACAGTTGCAGAATAGTTTTTCGAAGAGAAAGTAATTTTCACGATTAAATAATTGAAACTCTTCCAAAAGCAAAATATTATCAAACATGTATAATGTCGCTTATATCCTTACAATACAAGATGAAAATATATAAGAGAACGAAAAATAATGTATTATTATGTATTACATCTTTTAAAACTAACATATTACAAAGAAGTCGTAAGACATATTCATATTAATAAAAATATTAAATCAACAATAATTTGATGATAAATTCACGAAGAGAAAAAACAAGATTAATAAAACATTATTATTGTGATTTTTAAACTTAGGTAATATGACATTAAAAAGAATTAGAATTAGAAGGATAACGTTAAAAGTTAATTAATTCTTAGACATGGCAATAATGTTACATCAAGATATTTTTTTTTCTAATTATAAAACTGAATATAAAGTGAATATAAAGTGAATATAAAATTCGTTCTACATGCTAAACAAGAATGTTGACTAGTTTTGATCGATTATATTATTTCCGATCGTCAGAATATTTAAAAAATTTTTCTACATGATTTAATTTATGACAAAATTCAAGGTGAAGTAATAAAAAAATTTGTTTATCTAAGCATATTCGGCACGTGTTTTATCGTTGAATAAACGTTTTATTTAAGATTGGCACATAATTTTTCAAAAGATTGATTTATCATAATTTACAAAATTTTGATTGTTAATATATAATATAAATGATACATATTTTTGATAAGATTGTTCTTTAAATATTTTCTATTAAAAATTTTTCTATTTAAAATTTCTCTTCTTAAAATTAGAATTCTCTGTCTTTAATTTGGCGTGAACTATAGTCTAAATAATTAAATAAGATTATCTAAGGAGATTTTTATTTGCAAACATTCGGATACAATTAATTGGTTGATTTTATGTAAAAATTATATCGAAATGTATAATAATCAAAGATTCGTTAAAAATTTGTTCTATTCGATACCGATTCGATCAGAATTTCAATTTAACTTCAATGTTAGTTCGACGTCACATCAACTATATATTTTCGACTGAATATCGTACCTGCTTTGGAAGACACTTCAGCTTCACCGGCCTCCGTCAGTCGTTTCTGAAGCTCCGGATAGATCAGGGAATACGTATTGATGATGCTAAAGAGTACACCGTTGATTATGAAGCTGCCGATCATGATCATCCAAGCCCTAAGGCCGCCATCGGGTGGCCCAACAATCATTTTCGTCGGTTCGCTCGCAAAATCCTCGTTGGTCTCTCTTCGCGCCACGTTCCCATGTTCTCCGTTCATCGTGTCTTCTGCTTTGTGTACTCTTCTCGACTTCCCGATCGACGCATCGATCGTCAGTGCCACACTCTCGGATAAAAGGGGGTTGCCCTCACTCCAATCGGAATTGTCGGGATCGATCTGACGAGGCAGCACATGGCTCGCTGGGCCGATCGGATCCGCGACTGTGTAATCGATCGTTTGGATTGATGCGGCATTATTTTTTGGAGTAAAACCGATGTCACCCTGATCACTTCCCTCGTCGGTCGTCATTGTTATCGATAACTAGCTTCGTTGATTGTCGACTCCGTTTCTTCAGAAAGTACCTGTAAACTTCGGATACAAATTGTTAGATTATAGTTTCATTTTTTTAACATTATATTGTTTAAGTGATAAATTATTTAGTTAAATTGATTTTACCATCTTCTTACATACTTTTCATTTTTTATTTAAGAATTCTCAACTTTAGACAAAAAAATGTAATTCTAAATAACGACGATATGTAATAATTTTAAATAATGAATAATTGGTACATAGGGGGGAATCTATGAATTTCAAATACAAATATTGTTAAAAAAGATTATCAAATGATCATTTCCTTTTTTTCCATATTATATCGCTTAAGCAATAAGTTATCTAATTCACATTAAATTGATACGACATTTTATTTCTTTACATACTTTTGATTTCAAAATATTTATATAATTAATGCTAGCATCTCTTTCTCAAAATTCTTCAAATCATTGAAATTGTTTCACTGTAAAATAATTTATATATGTATCTTATAGATTAAAGCTTAATTTTTTTTAAAAATCTAAGAATCCATAATATTATAAGAAAAAAAAGCATAGTATTTACGAATAATTAATAGATATATTGGCGTGTCAATAGTCTTGAAAATTACTATTATACATTACGTGCAATGAAGAAAAGTTGCAGGGCTTTTCGAAAATGCAAAAATACAAAAATTTAATCGAAAAAATATTCCAACTTTTTCATCTAGCATAAATACATGTACATCGCATGTGAAAGATATGCAATTGCTATATTTGTTGCACCGTGCAGATACACAAAAGTCTGCGATGTAAGGCTTGATGAGTCTTTGAAGCAGAGAAATGAAGCTGGAGAATGCAGCTCCAAAGACTTGCAGTCTAACCATTTAACTAACAATACTCTGCCGATCTAGCACATCGGTATCAAGATACACCGGTAGTGTCTCGTATCAAATCATACGTAGCAAAATGGAATTACATAAACGCACATAAAAGTGCATTAAAAGCATTTCAAATTACATCTTAGATATCAGATCTCAATAATGAGGCTGAATCGATCGAGTAGGCTTGATTTATAGCGAAATAATGAAAGACTCAAACGAATAACAGAAGATAAAAAAGATCTTCCTTTGTATTGGTTATCATCAAACTCTACTAGTGTTTCGCTTGCAGATATTTTTAGTTAATTTTAACAATTGTAGTGCGCAATGTTCATCGATCAAAAAGGAATTGGATGAAGGCAAAAGTACACATTTATAATAGCATTAATTTCGTATGTACTTTGCGTGGAAGAAATATGTGTCCCTTAATAATTTCAAATACATTTTGAATACGTAATACGTGTAAAGTAAAATACTTATTAAATCGAAAGGAATTAGGCTCGTTATATATTCAATAACATGATAAGAAAACTAGCGTCTACGAGCCACAGAGGATGGTAAATGCCTGAAAAATTCTTTTTAATTGTACGCGAAATTTTAAACGAAAAACACGGCATATGCATATATTTTACTTGGTGCATTTAACCAAGATATAGATTCTCATTTTTGAGAAATTCTATACAACCCTCTTTACCCCCCTGAAGAGACGTAGACGAGAAAAATATCGGGGCGAAGTCGCTGAATCGGGATTCAGCGACTTCGCCCCGATATTTTTCTCGTCTACGTCTCTTCAGGGGGGTAAAGAGGGTTGTATAGAATTTCTCAAAAATGAGAATCTATATCTTGGTTAAATGCACCAAGTAAAATATATGCATATGCCGTGTTTTTCGTTTAAAATTTCGCGTACAATTAAAAAGAATTTTTCAGGCATTTACCATCCTCTGTGGCTCGTAGACGCTAGTTTTCTTATCATGTTATAAAATACTTATTGATATGAAGTTATATATAATTACTTTTTTCTTTCTTTTGAAAGACGAAGTTATATATAATTACTTTTTTTTTGTTTTGAAAGACGATTATGTTATGACGTGTGATTTCTAATAAAAAATTTATGATTTGTAAATGTGTTTTTTACCTTGAGAAAAATTGGCATGTAAAGTAAAATATTGATATGAAGTTATATATAATTACTTTTTTCATTTTTTTGAAAGACGATTATGTTATGATATATGATTCCTAATAATAGATTTGTAATTTGTAAATGTTTTTTACCTTGAGAAAAACTGGTTCAACTACTTTTTGATTCAATTATTTGAATTGCTAATATAGAAGCAAAAAATTTATAACAAATAAGATACTCATTTTGTTGAACATTTAAGATCTCTCGTGTTTCTTAAATATATTTCTGATAATATAATGAGATGATATAAATTATGTCAATTTTGATTTAATTTTTATTGATATAAATTATGTTAAATTAAAGTTTAAAAATTTTTAAATTTAAATTTTGAGAGAAGAATTACTCACACATTCTATTATAGCTCTTAGAATCATCCTAAAGTGATCCTTTGCGTAATATTTGTATATTATTCATCATAATTGGCGACATGTTATTCTCTGCTTGACACAACTTCATATCTCCTCATGCGAGTCAAACGTTTAATAGTCTTCAACAATTTAATAATCCTTCGATATTGTATCAATCATCAAACACTTTTTCGTGATATTTTCTTTTCTATAGATTTAAAAAAAAATTAAAGCTGAAACACAAACAAATAATCTTCTTTTTCATAGATTTCGTAGATGCAAGTTAAAAATGTAACGAAGAGAATAATAATAAATGAAACACATTTATAAATAAATTCGAGAACTTGAGTAATTATTAGAAAATGAAAGCGAACATTATCACATATTGGTATAGTGTACGTCACATATACATTTTAAAGATATATCGCATATATATATATATATATATATATATATATATATATATATATATATGTTGACAAGATGTAATAAAAAGTAAGATAAGAATTATTTCAATGAGAGAGTAAAGCAATCTCACTTTTAAAATATATAAAAAAAACATTTTTCAGAAAAAAAGAAAGCAAGGATATTGCATCTCGGAAAATTTATTAATTGTTATCATTATTTCACTTCATTTTTTACAAATTCTATGTAATTTAATTTATGCAGTTTTCGCATATATATATATATATATATATATATATATATGTGTGTGTGTGTGTGTGTGTGTGTGTGTGTGTGTGTGTGTGTGTTTTTATACATATATATATTTTGCACGAGAAAATATATTACGTTTAATAAAATGTTATAAAGAGAGTAAAATTTAATAAATTTTATAAAAACACTTAAGACATAAGAAAGTATTAATTAATTTGATAGATTTTTTTCGAATATTTTAAAATTCTCTAAGAATTAATTTTTTGAGAGCAACTAATAATTTTTTTATTTATATGATATATTAAATACTACTTTTTTAAAACTGGAGTTGTGAGGACATATGTTAAGTAACAAATATCTTAAATTATTGTTTAATATAAATAGGAATTTTTTTTAGAGATAATTTGTAACAACAAACTTTGATGTATATAATTATTTACTGTTATCGAAAGTGCAAAAATAGCATCAATAAGATTAGGTGTACAAAGTATTTTTGTTATCAAGAAGAGTTCGAAAATTAAGTGATTAATGAATAAACATGCGATATTTGGTCACTTGCAATGTACGCGAATATTGTGCATAAAAACAATGTAATCTTTTTTAATCAATTTGCATATAAAATTCAGTGTTTTCCTGAATCATAAAGTCAAGTTGTACATCCATGGACATTTATGTCCATCGAGCTATTGCATCAGCCGGTATAAAAGACGAACATCACGTGGTCAAACAATCATCAAACACAAACACTGACGTACATTATTCGTGTGGGGCCACCTGAAGATTTTTTTGACCTTGTGTCTGGGCAAAATTGCGCTTGATTAGCGAAATAAGTTCTTAGAATTAGAGACTCAACTTTACGAAACATTCCGTGCAATGTTCTCACACTCTGCATTTAATAATTATTTTTGATAAACTTTTATAATTTGTATATATATATATATATATATATATACATATATATATATATATATACATATATATATATATATATATATATATATTACATATAATTAACTTGGATTATGTTTAAAAGAGCATCAAGACCATAACTTAAATATGTGAAATTTTTTCTCTGTGAAACAATAATTTTTATGTTCCACATACTTTTCTTATTATCTCACTATAAGAAGAAGGCATTGAACTATCTTAATATCGAATATATATTGGTTTATCGTAGAATACATGCAAAGCTCTCGATTAAATGAGCCTGATGATTCATCGGCCAAAATTACATGTCCAAGAACACTTATATACAAAAGAGCTTCAACTTGATGCGATGCCAATTCTCGAATTGATATCGAGTCCTAAAGTTCAGAGATTCTTGCTTTACTGCCGAGCTCATTGTTACATTTCAATAAAAAATAGCAATTAATGATGCAGTAGCAGGTCCTGCAAGAACCACGATGTCTTATCAATTAAATAAAAAAGTCGATTCTCGAAGATTTGCTATCGGGAAAAGAGATATCTCCTCTGATAAGAATTAATATCGCGTCCCCTGGTTTATTCCACATAATATACATAATAATTTTTCTCTATGTTCTTTTTTATATAAAACTTATTTTTCTACATTTTAAAAAATTGCCAGAGACAGCATAATTTTTAAATAAGTTTAATAATTAATAAATTAAATTACGTTCATTTAAAATGTAGTAACTCTTGGCGATATTGAAATTACGCAAATTAAGTTAAAATCCAATCGAGACAGAATTACTGGCTCGGTTAGCAGAGCACGTGGAAGAAATTTGTGCGCGGGCAATGGTCGAAAATGGCTAAGAGATTACCCGGTTCAGACGATCCTCGAGCGTGGCAGCGGGTGCGTCATGTACGATATATCTGTCGAAAATCGCAAACTTGAACGGAATCGCGTCGGTTCCGAGGAAAAGACTACGTCGGCGGCGGCGAGAAGAAAAAAAAAGAGAGCGAGAGAGAGGGAGATAGAAGAGAAAAACGAAGGAAAAGAAAAAGAAAAAATACGAAGCGCCCGACTAATCGCCCTCGAGGATCGACCGACCGATCGCGTCGTCGGACATAAACTAAGGAGGCGACCGACCGACGTTCGGGGAACGAGTCGGGGGAAGAGGTCGAAAGTTTCGAGAGAGAACATGCTCTAATGCGTTAAGAGCGAAACTAACGAAGCGAGGAAAAGAGAGAACGATAGAGGAGCAGAATGTATAGATGGAGGAGAAGGAGGGAGAGACGAAGGCGGCACCGATAAGCCGGCGTGAATAGATGCAGCGGTCGGCGAAATATGCGTGAATTCACTCGTGGACGACTATTCCCTCTACGCAATTTTTCATATTCTTCCCGATGACGAAGACAGAGAAAAATGGAACGTTATCGTATATATATATATATAAAACCACATGATAAGAAATTTCAAACAATTCTGACCGCTATAAACTAATCTTGTTCTAAAATTGAGAAGTCAGTCGAGTCTACTAGATTTTTAACGATTTGAACAATAATTAGATACGAAAATATATTGCCAGAGTCTAACATAAAAATTCTTGACAAAAATTATCATTTGCCATGAACATAATTTCCAAAATAACATACAAATTATATAATTATATATAAATTATATGTATAAAATGTATGTATATTTAAATTATATATATTATAATATATTTTAAAAGGATGATAAATCTTGTCCGTATATCAATTTATCATTTAGACATTTAATAAAAGCTCACAATATTATTAAGAATTAATATTTTATTTTCCAATTTTCTTATCAAGTATACTTTTTAAATATTTTTTTATTAGAATTATATTCATTGTCATGAAAGTCTTATATTGCAGATCTTGCAATTTTTCAAAATTTACATTGAAGATGCAAATAATAATAAATTAATATAAGTTTATGTTGATATTGGAAAAAGTATTTCTATTGATAATATAATATAAATTCACACATGTCTGGTGTAACTTATATATAAATATTCATTCTTGTACAGATGTTGTACAGATTTAACTCGACACACACATAAATTTTTAATGTTAATGCAAGAAAATATACATATAAGATTTCCACGTATATTTTATTTGCCTATATATTATAATTTGCATAATTGCAACATTCACGAAATGCATTTTGAAAAAATTTTATAATTAATTATTGGCACATTTATGAAATAAAATTAAAAGCACTTACATACACGTTATTATTATACAATAATATGCGTCCGATAATTTTTATTAATCGAGATATGTGTCCTAACCACTTGTCTATTTAGAGAAGTTTCCTTTTTTTAAATGTCACATCAACCTCATATAATATAACTTTAAATGACAAACTTTTTATTTGTGTGCACAATCTCTTAAATATTTCACATATCGTAGAAAAATTCACTAGAATAACAAATTTAATAAACAATACTCGGGGAAACTTTGCATCTATAACATGTAATGCATCTATATTTGCACAATTTTAAGCAGTAATTATAAAAAAGTAATTATAAAATATGATATTGCAAAGCTTTTTTATATACATTAACAATTAGGTTGAAGATTTCGACTAAACTCAAATGCTTTATTACACCTAACTAAACATGACCCATACTATTTGGCTGACTGACCTACTGACATTGAAAGACACCGATTAAAATTATATGAGCCATGCGATGGTGCGATCGATTGTCACATACCACGAGAAATGTATACGGTTAATCTCCATAATACACGAACAATTTTATTGTCACGAGAAGGTTCGGTTATATCTGAACCAACAACTTATGACGTATTATCGACGTAGAGTTCAGAGACGATAACATAATCGCCCAAGTGACATGCGCCAACTAATGTAAAAAAATGCTGTTTTGTCGTTACACAGAGGCTTGTGTATATTTTATTTTCTATTGTATTCTTAACATTAGAGAGCACATTCGGAGCACATTATATAACATCTCGCATGAACAACATAAATGTGATAGATGCGAAACCATCTATGCGTCTTCATTGATGATTATTGATTGAGAAGTATCAGCTGATTGTAAAAAATAATTCTTTTATAAAATAAATGAATAAATTGGCAGTTTAAATATGTAATGTGACATTAATACTGTTTGTGACAATTTTTTGTGAAAGTTTAAAAAATAAAATATCAATTTACTTAGACTTCCTGCACCTAACACTGATATATATATATATATATATATATATATATATATATATATATATATAATCCATTCAGAGAAAGTCCTGAAATTATGAAAAATTCAGAAAATTTTTTGATAAAGAAGAAAAAAAAAAGTTGACTGACGCAATCAGAAAATTACAATTAATTAAATTACAATTATCGATCTGTCGACAATTCGATTTATGATAACAAATCTTGAACAATCACCGAATATATTCGGATCAAGTTACAATTATATATATTAATTATATATATATATATATATATATATATATATATATAAAATTATATAATTATTATCTTTTATCAGATAGAAATATCACAATTTGTCTAATAAATTTACTTGACAAATGAGATTTTTAATCGATTTCGAAAAATTTGTCGTATACAGGTAAAAATTAAATTGCAGACCGGAAATGATTGTCTTTCCACAACTTTATTTTCGCACGACATTTGTTTTTCTTCATTATCTCGATTATCAAAGATCTCCCTTAAATCCGTCAAATCCACCTTTCCCTTTCAAACTTTTCTTTATGTTTGTCAAATAGCAGCTCGTTAAAAAATACCATGCAAAACAGTACGTACTTGGAAATGATCTCTTGAATTTGATGATAATGAGTTTTAATATCGATGACTTTTGATCCAATCGATCGAGCGGCTCGTTTGCCACGTGAAACGTTCCATGTGGCTCAATGAACCTTCGATGATGTCTCGTATTTGTCAGAGTTGTTTTGCACATTCCACGAATTCACATAGTGTTGATTGACGTTTCAAAAAACTTTTTCCTCCTTTGAATTTAATTGACACCATGTCTTCTGTTTTATCTTCCTTTAATTGATATCCGCGTCTTCTTCGAAAAAAAAAACTGGAGCAACAAAATGGAAGTGAATGTATAAGACTTCGTGTCTAGCAGTGAAATTTAGTAATTTCCGGATTTTTCAAAATAGGTGGCGTTCAGAAATCTTTCCTTTTTTTAATATAAAAGTTACGCTTACCCAAAAAAGATCAAAATTTTTTCACATCTCAAACTATTCTCTTCTTCTTCAAAAAGAATGCAGCACTGCTTTAATGTCAAGATAACGACATCTTTAATTAAACTCTGAAACATGTTGCAACTTTGTATTGCTTTACCAACATCGAATCACCTAGTCGTAATATTGAAAAAATGTTAAAATTGTTCAATTTATTAATAATTCATTAACGAGAAATGTAGATTTATTGAATTAAACAATATTTTTCAGCAAAAAAAAGGTATTTAAAAGGTAAAAAAGGTATTCTATGAATTAATAATTCATAAAATGACTCATTAATTCAACGACCCATTTTATCTTCAGTGAACATGACAGTTCACTATTCTTTCAAATATGCATGTTGATAATCCAACAATAAGACTTTGTACGTGACGTGAGGTTATATTTGATAACTGCAATTGCTAGAGTGTATCAGTTGTACGTTTCTTCGGCTTTAAAGTGACAAGTTAAATGTTTATATAAAAAGAAAGATGTCCAGCGTAGATTGGGAAGAAGTCAAGAGGCTGGCCGCCGATTTCCAGAAAGCGCAGCTCAGTTCGACTTTACAAAAGTATGAGACATCATTACTCTCCACAATCTGGATCAATCTAAAAATTTCATTTTCGTATTAATTTCTGATAATTGTAAAGTGATTATAAATAGTAAAGTGTGCAAATAAAGCATATTAAAATGTCAGATGTTTTTATTATTCAATTCATATCTTGCATACAGTATTTGTATTGTAATAGTTCATGACAGTTCTTTAAGCAAGTTTAAACATATGGAACATGATAATAATATATTGACAAATTTATTTTTATTGAATATAGAATTTTAAAAAAGATTAGTTTTATTATAATTTATATTAATGAGAATAAAAATAAAATTTATGTTTTTATATCAATTTGCTGCAATACTAGAAAAAATGTACCATTTTTTAAATAAATGTATTACTTATTAATATTTGTCATCTTTTATAGCAATCTAATATAATTAAATTTATGTTACAGACTTTCTGAACGGAATTGTATAGAGATTATAACAACATTGGTAGAAAACAAGCTTTTGGATATTATATTTACTAATGATGGCAAAGAATATGTAACTCCCCAGCATCTTGGGAAAGAAATCAAAGATGAATTGTATATTCATGGTGGAAAAATTAGTTTAGTCGACTTAGCGCAAATTCTTAATGTTAATTTATCACAAGTAACTAAAGTAGTAACAGAAATTGAGAAACACAATAAAGGACTAAAAGTAATATTGGGACAACTCATCGATAGAAGTTATATAAATAAAATTGCAGAAGAGATAAATGATAAACTTGTACAACATGGTTGTATCAATGTGGCTGAATTGACACTTACTTATAATTTACCAGCCGAATTTCTACAATCAGTTATTGAAAAAGAATTGGGAAAGATAATTCATGCCACGCAAGATTACCAAGACCCTAAGGTCTTTTATACCGAAAGCTTTATCGCTAAAAATAGGGCAAAAATTAGAGGTGCTTTGTCTGCTGTCACGAAACCTACACCACTATCTGCAATATTGGGTCAATGTGGAGTTCCAGAAAGGATATTTTTTTGTAAGTACGAAAATGTATTAAAAATATATTAACATTATAAAAAGATAATAACTTTTTTACACAAGTTTTTCTGTTGTTTGCTAAATATTATGTTTGATATTCTATTTATAGCAATTCTGGATGGTCTACAAGAAGTAAAACAGGTGCCTGGAGTTGTAACTGGAAAACAGAGTGGAAATAGCATTTACATACCTACTATATATTCTAAAAGTCAGAATGAGTGGGTTGAAAACTTTTATAAGCAAAATGGATATTTAGGTAAAATATATAATTTAGAATAATTTTTAGGAAATTCTTAAATATCACTCAATCTAATGTACTTTTATTTTTCACTCAATCTAATGTACTTTTATTTTTCAGAATATGATGCGCTTATAAGACTCGGGATATCGGACCCATCAGGTTTTGTAAAACGTCATTTTTCAAGTGAGAACATGATCTATTTAAAATCAGTAGCTGTCGGAACAGTGGTAATGGATCAAGTTGACGCTAATATCGAAGAAATCATTGCGACTGGATCTTTCGTTGATCTTTATCCCCTTTTACCATCTGTATTCAGTGACGAGGATGCGGAAATTCTCCTAAAATTAGCTACAAAGAAAACAAAAGCCAATGTCCATATATTTGCTAAAACAGTTGCAATTTCTGATGCCTTCTTACAGACTTTAACTAAATCCCTTGAAATAGTAGCAGAACAAAAGGCTCGAGAAGTAGTAGCTAATGGAAAATGGATTCAGTCTATTGCTGAAAATAAATTGAAATCAAAATCTGCAGATCTTATAATTGAAAATAAAACGAGTAAAAAGGAAGAACGAAGAAAAAAGGCAGTTGTTGGTAAAGCAGGTGGCGGTAGCCAAGGTAGGGAAACCAAGACAAAGTCTACAAAGAAGAAGTATCTTCAAGGAAAGGCACAAGAAAATGAGTCCGATGAAGATGAAACGAGGCAGACATCAGTCGGAAAGGGCGAGATTACGTTAATATCTTTTGAAGAAGTAAAAGCGAAAATTATGGAAGATGAGAATATATCTGTAATTGAAGAATTGGCGAACGAATTAACGTATTATCTGCAACCGAAATTAAATAAATCCGCATTATCGTTGGCAGAACAATTAGCGCAATCCAACAAGACCACGAATCTAAGTGAGATCAGTGAGCGCTTAAATGTTCTAATAACAAATATTCGAATATTCGACAAGGGTATTAAACATTTAGACAAAGCAGATCAAATCTCACTGACTAAATATTTACTCAAGTCGCTAGGTCTCGATTTTGTAACGAGTATATTTAAATTGGCTGCTCAACAGAATATGCTACAAGTGGCAGAGAATCTTACAACAGAGATAAGGCAAAGATTATTGCTCGAACTACCTGCAGATGTTAAAGAATCATTAACTGCTGTCCACAAAACAATAATGGGAGATTCTGTGGAAGATTTTTTGAATACCGTTGATGGAGCAATGGCAGCTTGCTGTTTGGTCCTGAAAAAATATGATAAGAAAAAAGAGCGACCACAGGTGCATGCTCATAGAGAAGCTCTGTTGGAAGAATTAAACGCCACGCAAGATCCCGCATTAGCATTGCATTTAGTTACTAGCGTGCTTTTCACTGCTGTCACACAAAATGCCTTACATATGTCTGGTAGACATGTAACAACTGTTCTCGCATTCCTCCAAAAACAATTAGAACCTGATACAATATCGATTCTTTCTAAATATCATGGTAATCAATACAATAATCTATAAAATAATTTAAAAAAAAATTTTTTTATAATGAAATTAAAAAATATTGTTTTTATTTTCCACAGACTTGGTACTTAATCTACTAAGTGCCTCTGATGAAAATGTAAAGATGGAAGTCTCCAGAGCTTTGGAAGAAGGATTAATGGATATAAAAAATATCGCCAACAATTTCAAGCAACATGTGAAAACAGACAAGTCTTGAAAGGGATAATATAACTGATTGTATAAATAAAATAATTTGTAAAATAATTTAGATTTACTCGCATTATATTGATATTTAACATAATTACTATTGTATTTTATGATAAAATATAAAGAAAATATGTTAACACAATTTTTGAAAAGGTTAATCTTTATACAAAAAAATCCATGAAACCTAATATTGTGATGCTTTCACTATGATGTTTGATAAATGTGTGTGTATTTGTATATATATGCATGTGTATATGTTGCATATGTATGCATTTGTATTTTACAAAATCCTAATATTTACCTTTCAATAAAACTTCATTTTTTATTATTTTTTACAGTCAGTTCAATAATAGATGGGAATGTAACTAGATATACACTAATGAACTTACCTATATATGTACATAATTTTGTGTATATATAATTTAGAAGACACTTGATCGTCATTCTTGTATATACAGATAAATATCACAAATGCAGTTTTTGTAACATTGGGTTACAAAGTCGCTAAGATTCTCGTAAATCCGACACACACTGGTACCACAGTCTGTCCGATACCCCAAAATAATGCATATAAAGGAGGCATTTGATAACCAGATGCTCTGTACACAAAGGCAACTGCTGCTGAACTAATAACACCCGATGTCAATGGTAACAATACACCCATTATTATGATAAGCAGCGGAAAAAATCTGTGAGTACATAATGGATTATGAATTAACTGTTTACTGACATATGTGAATAACACATTTAAAACTTACATACTTGCCGTATTTGTGCTGTCGCAGAGTAGCAAAACAAATCGCGCCAGCAATTGTGTGTACAAATATTGAAGAGAATAGGGCCCATAGAAATATTTGATACCACATTTCTGGAAAAAGAAATTAATTTAATTTAATTTATATATAAATATAGATAAGACATGACATAATTTATTATAAAATGTACATGCATTTATAATGTACTTATACGATTATATATACCTGCGAATGATGTTAAAGTAGATGTAGTGAATATGTTGCCGGAATTCACATTTCGTAATGCCATTTGTGGCCGCAATGAATTGATATCCGTTTGCACATCCATATGAACATCGAAGAATGAGACTTTTCGAACAATCGACTCTATTTACGAGACGTACGAATTTTTTCGTAAATTTTTGCTCCCTTTATGCTAGTTTGACAATTGTCGATGAGGTTATGTCGATGCATCGTTAAGAAATTATTCCGGAGTTATTGACTATTATCACAGTTACGACACACAAGAAACGACGATAATGATAATCATATAAATGGATATACATTCTTTATAAAATGAGACGGAAAAAAATGGAAGGAATTTAAATATTCATATGTTTAGTTGTCAAATTTGACATTGTTCGTCGTTATTTATGGCGTTTTCGAATGGTCGGGTTTAACCCGACCCGGGGTAGTTTACTATACGTCATTAACCAATCACAGCCATTCTTTTGAAGAATGTATGATTACATTCAGAAGAATGGCTATGATTGGTCAATGACGTCTAGTAAACTATCCGACTAAAATTAGTATAGATATAGGCTTCGATTGTTGCATTTCTCCACGCAACAACCTGGCATTTTTGATACTTTCTTCTTTTTCTGCGCAACAGAAGGAGTTTTCTCACCTCACACACAACAGGACACAGGACAAACCAGGATCAAGGTTAGAAAAATTGCACTTAGTATAGATAGCTACACAAAGTGTGCACTATCTGCACTATCGGACGCCATTTGTGCTCCATCTTATCTTATTGAGATCAAAATTGCGGTACTTTGTTAATCTAGTGACTTTAAGATCGCCTAAAAGCAAACTATGACAAAAAAGAGTGAAAACTATGAACAACTTTGTTGTTTGTTTTATAGATTTTAAAAATGGCTTGTCATATGCTACATATTTAGAGTTGTAAATAATTTGATAAAAAATGTTCAATCTGTAAACAATGGTAACGCAAATGAAATATATCATTGTCTCTAAATCATTATATGTAATTAACATATAATGTGTATTTAAAATTAATTTATCAATTTAACTCTAATAAAATTAAGAAATTTTTTTCAGGTATATTATTGTTTAATATTGTTTAATTTATTGCTTATCAGTCATTCACATTTATTAAAAATAGTCACTTTATTAAATAATGTGAGAAACTATATTTTTTGCGAATAGTAAGTAGAACTTTTATGGATATAGCATTTTGATAATAGTTTATATTTACAGTAGAAAATAATTTGTATTTCACTGTGCTTTTGTTCTATAGGACCTGAAGATGAATTATGAAAGGGTGTGACAAGTATCAGTAATGCAGGAAGACGCAGAGCAAGAAGAGTAGTGAAAAGAGAGAGCTCCTAAATAAGGAGCAAATTATTGGCATGGGAAAAATTCTGATACAATTTCCTGGTCTAAACACTCCTGTGTTTAGAGGAAAAGAATTAATTCAACAGTAAAAACTACTTGTAAATCTTGAAAGAAAGCAAAAACTTATGGAATTACCACAAAGTCAGACCAGACCAATGCAAATAAAATTATCGCCATTGGAATGTGGTTGGATGAGTGTTACAATGGATGGCAGAAGCATTGAATCAGATCTTATTGGAAAAGGTTAATATTTATGATATTATTGGATTATAATGGTTAAATCACACACATACAAAAATCATGTGATACGATGTCTATTTTCAATTTTTTTTTTATGTTTCGGTTCTAAATATTAGAATTTTATATAATTAATATCTTTGTTTTCTGCAGATACATTTGAAAGTTTTGAAACCTGGATTTTGGAAAACAAAATGATAACTTGTATGACTGGTAATTTAGCACGTAAGACTAGAATCAGTTCATTTATAGTAACTGGGAATGGAAATGGATTAGCTGGATTTGCGTTATCAAAAGCCAAAGCATCCCTAAAGACGGTTAAAAATAGGGCTGGTCAAAGACTAATGTATATTCCTACATATAAGGAATACACTAGTAAGAAAATAATTGTCAATACTATATAATATAAAATTTATTTCTTCTCTTTTAATATCACTTTGTATTTTTCAGTGTTACATGATTTCTTTACACAGTTTGAGAATATAAAAATATTCGTAAAGAAAATTCATGAAGGATAATGGGCTTGTTTGTCATCATGCGATAAAAGCGTGTTGCGAGATAATTGGCATAAAGGATATGTATGCCAAAGTACAAGGAGGAATGTAAAAGCATTCTTTATTGGTTTATTGCAATAGGTATGTATATAAAGTATTTAAAGACATATTATACTTTTTATTTAATTTATATTAGAAAGAAACATTTTTTATTTATAAAAATATATATACATATATATATGTTAGACATAAAGCTAAAAAAAAACGTGGATTGTGTCGATTAATTAATTAATTGTTTTATTTAATTATCAATTTATATATGTATATTATTAACATTTTTTGTTTACTTAAACTGTATAAGGTTGTACATAAGAAACAATCTTTTTTATTTAGTATTTCGAACATATTTTCATAGAACTTTAATTTAATTATTATATTATTAAAAATATTGAACAAAATAAAGAATTTTTTTCTTTCTCTGCAGTCTCATGGCAGATTATATCAGAAATCATACTTTAATTATTGCAATATATCATGAAACAAATCAATCTCAAAATAATGGAAGTATTTGCAGAAATATCAAATATGTAATGTAAATATTTTAATTTTTTTGTATGCGATCTATTTTTTATTCTATCGATGTTTTCATAGTGATGCACCTTGAGCACTTTGCTTCATATGTTTGCAATAAAAATATATTAAAGCAAATTATTTTGCAAATTTATTATTCTAATTTTTATTTAGAAAGACTAAGATTAAAAAAGACGTATGCATTTTTTTTCAGATATTTCTATTGAAAAAAACGCATCAGATAAAACTTTCCTGTACATTTTAAATGTGCCAAAAGATTTGCTCTTTATTCCACTTACTACAATAATGTACACTAAAAATGACAGATCTATATTAAAAATGATAGATCTATATTTAGTAGTTGGAAAGAAAGAGAGGAGAGAAATGAAAAGTGCATCTAGAGAATTTAAAAGAATAAAAATCTAAAAATAATAATACATAAAAATTAATATTATGTATTTTTTTCATGAGGAATGTAAGGCGCACATTTATGCATTTATTTATTTAGATGAGATTTACTTTAGAGCACATTCAGTATTCAACTTTAATTTTATTTTCTCTTTCTTATGATATATAAGTACAACATAATTACAAATGCTATCATTTTTGTGTGCTTACAGTGATACAGAAGCAACATTACAAGTACTATATTTACAGATAACATCTGTATAATAAAAAAAGCACCAAAAATCTAATGATGAAAAAAGGATAAATATTGTAGACCAGCATAAGAATCAACCAATTATTCCACCGCTCTGTTTCATTAGAGTTGCAATTTTCTTTTATATCATAAATATTATAAATAAGATAAAGATTTCTGTAAGTTTCAAATAAATTTATATATTTTATGTATGTAATAATACTGCACATATTAAAAGGTGATAATATCACAGTTATAATAAGATATAATCCTGGCAATGTAGTGATTTTTGGATCCTACTTAAAATAATTTAATTTGATTTATTTTTGAGAAATGCGCACAATACTTAAGAACAAATTATTTTTGTGCCATGTATTACCTGTGTAAAATTCCACACACAGTATCATATTGTCTGCGATATATGAAAAGCTTCATCGATGAAATATGATTGAGATATAAGAAAAGTAATATAGTACTTGTAATGAATAACGTTAATGTGGAATACATAAATATTTTATATTTTAATTTCATATAATCAAGATGAGATAAGACACTCATGATTACTTTAAAAATGTGTCCACAAATATCATGTAACTTCAATAGTTGCACATTCGTCAAATTAATCCTATTACGTTAAATGAATCACAGCAGCTTGTTTTAATTTAATCTAACCTAACCAATTATATTATATGCTTCTCATTAAAATGTGTAAAACTGTACGTCGCACATTTAATACGATTAATATACTACGTAATAAAATGTAATACACTAATGAAATAATTAAATATTATTTTTGAAAGCATGATAAAATCCAGGCAGCATACGCTTGTGTTTACATTCGACATCCAAAGCACTGAGAGGTTAGGTTAGGTTAGATCGAAAAAATTTATCGTTTAACAGTTGGCAGCCCTACGAGATAGGCTGTGCAGCACTGCGCGTATATAAAATAAATTTGAAATCGCTTCTAGCCTAACCATCTTCACGCAATCGACTTTATTTGAATTGCACGGCATCGCATCGAATTATGATGCGGCGCCGATTTGTTCGAACGTAATTCGAGACATCGCGATGCTGTATAAGCGTCGAATGAGCACGAATTGTCACGCAAATATGATAAATCAAATCTACTCACTCGTTCACCGGCTGTTCCACAGGCCGCTCCACTCGCTCGCCTCGGGACGTCCCATTCCGATCTTGATGCACACGATATCATCAACGAGAACGCGCGACACTTTATTCGGCACTCCCGATATTCGTTCGCATCCGATAATCATCATTAAGGGCGCAAATAACGCGACGCGACTTCGCTCCATCTTCGCGATCGCGCTATCACGGAATTGTCGAAAACGGCTGTCGCGCACTTTCACTGACATATTATGAAAGTCGCGCGATCATCCTTGGACACTTTCGACGCTCTTTCACTCGCGATATTCGTTTAAAAACGATTAAAAGACGCGAAAAATGCGGACGTTCGACGATCCGTGTAACTGCGTATGACTCCGAGTCACGTATGACGCGTATGACGTAGCTATGACGCGTATGACGTAGCAGTCACGCGCTAACATGGCGGCCGAACCACTGCGCATGGCCATTCCTGCGCGCAACTTTGATTTCTGAAATATTGTCTACGGCTTTAATTAATAGCACATAATGATAAATATATAAAGATGGAATCAATTAATTATATTGGTCATATATGTAGACTTGCCTGAAGAAAGAGAGTTGTTCTCGATGTTCACTTTTAAAGGAATAAAGAGAATTATATATAAATGTAAATAAATTATCCGAAGAGAGAAAAAATTGAGAGATATTTTTAATTTTTTAATAAAAAATGGAAATGTCTATTCATAGGCTTGTTCTTCTTTTCCTCTTTTGTGCAATTTCGATTCAATATATAACGTAGAAAATTCATAGTATATTGCATTTATTTTTATATATTCACAACTATAATATTCGCACGATCATTTTTTGACATTTACAATACTCGTGTGCCTTGTTCTCGATGTTCACTTTTAAAGGAATAAAGAGGATTATATATAAATGTAAATAAATTGTCCAAAGAGAGAAAAAATTGAGGGATATTTTTAGTTTTTTTAGTAAAGGTTGGAAATGTCTATTCATGATAGAAATGCAAAGAAAGAAAATTATTATGTTTAAAATAATAATTTCATATGAAATACAACATTAAAAGTTACATTATAGAACTTGACTTTCTAAAAGCATAATAAAACAATCAAATAGTAGACAGAGAAAAGATTAATTGTAAAAGAAAAAAAGTTGTTAACTTAACTAAACCATTTAACTAAATTATTACCTTTTTAACTGGAATATTTAACTATTATAAATCTAACATGACATTTATTTAATTTAAATATTTCAATATTTTAATTTAAAAAATAATAATTTAGTTAAACAGTTTAGTTGAGTTAACAAAAACTTTTTTTTCTCAATGTACGTGTGTGTGTGAGATTTTAAAAATATACTTGGATATAAATACATTTATATTATTAAATGATTAATATATCTCGTGAAGTTTAATGGAATATTTAACTATTATAAATCTAACATGACATTTATTAACTTAAATATTTCAATATTTCAATTTAAAAAATAATAATTTAGTTAAATGGTTTAGTCGAGTTAATAACTTTTTTCTCAGTGTACGCGCGCGCGCGTGTGTGGTGTGTGTGTGTGACTTTAAAAATATACTTGTATATAAATACAATTCTCACATACGTCACAGTACGCGTTAAATATTTCGGCAGCGAGCTAACACGTCATTCGACCTTGTGACGTAGCGAGCTAACACGTCATTCGACCTTGTGACGTAGCGCGCTATTGTTTACATACGCGACGACCTCCCCTCATTCGCACGGCGACATTCCAACGGAGAAAGTAGCGATACGGACCGCTCCGTATTATCGAATTCTTTTCCTAAAGGTACGATCGCGATTAAATCGAAATATAATAATTCGACTATTACAAATGACAAATAATTAACTCTTATAATAAATGCAATTGTGGCGACGATAAATTCATCGAAACGCGATCTTTCATTATTGCAAATAAAAATTGAAGCGAAAGGGGCAAAAATTACAAATTTTCTCACAATATTCTCCGATTATCGAACTTTACGAATAATAATTATTTCTTTAACATTGCATAGAATGAAATTCGATTTCACCCGATGTTTTAAACTTTCCTAAACTGCATGCATATATATCATATTAATTAAACGATTGCTGTATCATCAATTTACATTACTTTAATATTTTAATCTTATGATTCGCGTTATTATGCATATATTATACATCAACAAATAGAAATAGTTAATTAGTGTAAGAATCGAGTGGTGCATGATTTTGGCTTCGTTTAAAAATCGAGCGAATTATTGTAATTTTTGTGTTCCTCTCTTGCAATAATAATAAAATAATAATAATATAATAAAAATACGTATCTCGTATGATTATTTTGCGATCGGGAGTGCCGTGCAAAGTGTCTCGCGATCGTTTCTATATATGACTGAAACATAATTAACTGAAATATAATTGTTTGTTCGCGAGTGAATACGTGACTGCTATGAGGAAACAACAAAGGATGAAACAAAAGAGAAGGATATCTGGAAAAGTATCGGACAGTCAGAAAGCAGGAAGAGAGCCTGAAGCAGCCAGAGACATGCGGTGAGTAATTTATAAAAATTATTTATTATTTATTATTTATATATACTATTTTTAAAATAGATATATTGCTTATTATTTTATTATCGTTTTATTTTTCGATCATTTAAATATATAATTCGAATTGAAATGCAGTAAAACAATCGAATCATAGATTTAAATAATTAACTTAACAAGAAGATCCATAAAAGATATATTAGTTCTTTTAATAAATAATATCGTATATTTAATTTATATAAAAATGAAATATTATCTATTTATTTCTAAATATTAAATACTATAAATTTAATAGTTATATATTTTGTAAAATTTAATTAAAAGAATCTTTAAGATATTCCAAAAGAAACGAAGAACTTTTCTCAACGAAGAAAAAGTTAATTATAAACAAATTTATATTTAATTATTATAATTAATTTGTATTTAATTTTATTGGAATTTTATTATTAATTTTATTGCATTGTCAAACTCTACGCGATCTCTGTAATGATAGCTATTCACGAAATAGGTACAGTGAAATAATCAATTATTCGAAAAGAGGCAATAATATACTTTTAAATCTAATTTAAACTTTTGATAAACGATATAAAATTTTTTTATTATGATGAGAAATTTTTATTAAAGATCATAATTGCAAATAAAAATGGAAATAACTTCACAAAGTATATTAATCGTTTAATAAATAATTAATCCATGTGTACGTGTACGTGTGTGTGTGTGAGTGTGTGTGTGACTTTAAAGATGTGTATTTAATAAATTATTAATCCGTGTGTACGTGTGCGTGTGTGTGTGACTTTAAAGATGTGTGTTTAATAAATAATTAATCCGTGTGTACGTGTACGTGTGTGTGTGTGTGTGTGTGACTTTAAAGATGTGTGTTTAATAAATAATTAATCCGTGTGTACGTGTACGTGTACGTGTACGTGTACGTGTGTGTGTGTGTGTGTGTGTGTGTGTGTGTGTGTGTGTGTGTGTGACTTTAAAGATATACTTGTATATAAATATACTTATATATAACTTTAAAAATATATATTTCTGTTATGTTAATTATCCGATTTTTATTTGATCGTTTTATTGCGCGTTCTGAATCAAATTATATTTAAATCAAATGATATAAGAGAGAATATTTATTTATTATATTAGAATTCTAAATGTTTGTGTGTGTATACATATATATTAGGATAGAAACGAAATAGAAATAGAAGAATAATCATTGCTCGTAAAGATTGCAACAAAGTAATAATTTATAATTTTGATTCCTATCGTATAATCGAGTATCGTATTTCGAGAGCAATCAACTATTTATTAATAATAAAATTGTATATAACTTACGAATATATTCCACTTATTCCGGACGTTAATATCGCGACAACGACGAATAAACTTTTCAAAAAAGTTTAATTCAACTATTTTATATATGAGACAATTCTACCAATCACTGATACAAAAAACTCGTCAATTGATCAGTTGGTGAAACTGTTTCAGTCCTGAGTATTTTCTTAAAAGAGCTGTTGGCGCACATGCGTGTATTCTGTTTACGCGCGTCACGCGTTCGAACGAACCTTAACATTCTCGCGAGTAAAGTCACTAGATTAACAAAGTACCGCAATTTTGATCTCAATAAGATAAGCTGGAGCAAAAATGGCGTCAAAATTGCGGTATTTTGTTAATCTAGTGACTTTATATCCGACCAATTGAAAACGCCATCTGCGAAAGAACACTTCTAACACTTTTAACATTTCTATGTTAAAGATCCTAGAAATCCTAAATCTTATTGTTAGATATCCTATATCACGCATTTTTTTATTTTAAAATTACTTTATAAATTGAAAATGTACTAAAAATTATGTAGACACATATATTAAATATTCTTTATTCTTTTTCCACGAGTTTTTTTTCCTTTTCCTTTTCCGATTCACGTATGATGCGCATGAAGTGACAGAAAATTGGTGCTTTCCATTTAGCGACATAAGTCGACACAAGCGTCATTCTATCTTTTTTCAATGAATAACAATAAACAAAGATAGAATGACACTTGTGTCGACTTGTGTTGCTAAATGGAAAGCACCCAATGTATAGTTCATGTCACCCATATTATACATTTTGTCACTTCATGCGCATCATGCGTGAATCGGAAAGTACCCTATGAATGAAGCATGTCTGAGGGCCTATCCAGACAAACTTGCATAGATGCATATGCATAACATAAGACCATATGGACCAATGAGCATCGAGTATTATGTTATGTAAGTCAATATAGCGATTTAATACTCGATGTTCATTGATCCATATGATTTTATGTTATGCATATGCACCTATGCAAGTTTGTCTGGATAGGCCCTGTCACTTCTTTTCGCGCATGCGCAGCATAATGAGCAGTCAAATCCAGGCATGCGGAGAAAATAAGAGCGAAATTTTAGTCCTTTTAATAATAATATAACAATAATATAACAATAATATAACAATAATTTTAATAATAATTAATATATTTAGTACAAAAAGTAACAGATATTGCACATCTAAAAAAAATCATCGTAATTATCTAATATATTTGTTATTGCGCATGCGCGAAATTTATCTTCCCCATCTATATATCTTACACGTCCATGGTGTCGATTCATGAGAGGAGTTGTAGGAGAGAAGGTGCTGGTCTGTGGTCTGTGCTGGCTGTGCTGGAGTCACGTGATTACAATACAGTGCTGAAGACATGGCGGATAAAGAGGAGACCGAGAAGACCATCGCCGAGGACTTGGTTGTTACCAAGTATAAAATGGCCGGCGAGATCGTAAACCGTAAGGGAACGCTTCTATAGTGTCCGTATAAAATTCCTGCGACCGTAAACGCGCATCGTACGCGCGTTTTCTCCTTCATGTTGCCATATGGAATTCGGCGCGCCAATGCCGGGCTACTTTCGCAGCCATGTGCTAGACTTTTAAGTCCTCTCTAAGCATCTCCGATGTCCGATCCAGCGTTCTCTCGATCTATCAAATGCACGCTTGTTTAACAAGTCGATTTTCTTTATTTCCGATCGTTCATCATTCATATAATTTCGACCGCGAGTCATACGTCTGTGTGCCCTCGAATTTTAATTACCTTGCACCTAAATAAGTTATACATATTTGCAATACACTTATCTTCTTGGGTTAATAGCGAGTTTACAATCTAAGATAATAGTATGTAATGTATAAATATATTTGTTCATTATTTTGAGTTTACATAAAATTAGGATACTTATGTATGTATATGTGTGTGTGTATGTGTGTATACGTGTGCTACATATATTATTTGAATTATGACTAACAGATTCTATCCCATGACTGTGTTCTGAATTTTTCTCTGTCAGCATTCAAAATCTATATTTTACATTATGTATATTATAGATTTCCATTACTGACAGTGAATATCTCAGAATATAGTCTATGTAATGGTTTTATAATATATTCAATAAATGATAGAGATAATTTAATTACATTACGTACAATTGAAATATGTGCAAAGAATGGCTTCTGTAAGAAAAAAAGTTTCATTGATTTATAACTTTAATATGTAACTTTTTCGTAATTATATTGTATTAATATATGCATATATAGTTTTTATGTATATATATTTTGCAGGGATATTAAAGCAAGTTTTAGACAAATGCGTTGCTGGAGCTTCTGTGAGAGAAATTTGTGAGTTTGGCGACAAACTACTTACAGAAGAAACTAACAAAGTTTTTAAAAAAGAGAAAGAACTTAAAAAGGGAATTGCTTTTCCAACTTGCATATCAGTCAATAATTGCATTTGTCATTTTTCACCCATTGCTAGCGAACCTGATCTTATTCTCAAAGATGAGGATATGGTTAAAGTGTAAGTATTTCTAAAAAACTTGCTTTATAAATTTTTACAAAATTTAATAGTACAAATAATATTATATTTTATTGAAAACATTTGAAACATGTCAAACAATATGTTTGAATAATCTTGACATTTCAGTTTTTAATTAAACTAATTGATAAAATTATATGATTATAGTGATCTAGGAGCACATGTCGATGGTTTCATAGCTGTAGTGGCACACACTATTGTTATAAATTCTTCATCAGAGAAGAAAGTGACAGGCAGAAAAGCAGATGTAGTTTTAGCTGCACATTTTGCTTCTCAAGCTGCATTAAGGCTATTGAAACCAGGTACAGAGGTAAGATTGAAGATACTTATGTATTATATTACTTTTTCATATGTTTTAGAATTAAAATGTATTAAATTAAATTATAATTAAATTTTAATATATATTTCAGACATACACAATAACAGGCACAGTAGAAAAAATATGTGATTCTTATAAATGTAAACCGATCGAAGGCATGTTAAGTCATCAATTAAAACAATTTAAGATTGATGGGGAGAAAACAATAATTCAAAATCCAAATGATGCACAAAAGAAGGAACATGAAAAGTATACACTTGAAACTCACGAGGTAAAAACTGTGAAACTGTTGAAACAATATTTAAGTTGAAATATATAATTAAAGTGAAAATTAATTATTTGTAGAATAAAAAAATATTCTTTCTTGATGATTGTGCTCAATGGCATATGTATTAACCTTATTATTTGTATTATCTATATTCTTGCAAAATAAGCTAAAAGCTATTATTTTATATCTTATTTAAAAAAAAAATATAAGGAAACGTTTAAAATATTAAGTAATTTTTTAATTTATTATGTATTTAATTTCAGGTATATGCAATGGATGTATTAGTTAGCACAGGTGAAGGGATAGGAAGGGAACAGGACACTCGGGTCACAATATACAAAAAGACAGAGGAGACATATCAACTTAAATTGAAGGCGTCTCGTATGTTCTACTCGGAAGTCTCCCACAAACATGGTCTTATGCCATTCAATTTACGCACTTTTGAAGACGAAAAGAAAGCGAAAATGGCTGTTGTTGAATGTGTAAACCATAGGTTGATTGAGCCATTCCAAGTAAGAATTTATATGTACTAATCTATCAATTCTCCACTAGTGGATGCCATTAGTGAATGTCAGATTATTTATGACTCGTATCTAAAAAACATTTTATAAAGTTTATACAATAATCAAATAAATATTTCATATATGTACACTTTATAAAGAAATCAGTTATTTTTATTTTGATCCTATTTTTTTTTTATTTTTATGTACAAATATTTTTTTAAAAAGAAAAAATATATTCAAGAATTTATAAAATAATTTACAAAATTAAGATATATCTATTATAAAATTTTATTTTGTGATAAGAGAAATCTTGAAATGTTCTCGTTCTGTTATGTGTGTTTGTTATATGTATAGTCCACTTTGATAGTTAATTATAATAGTATTGTGTGAGGAGAGTTCTAATATCATTTTTTTAATGCAGGTGCTATATGAAAAACCAAATGAGTATGCTGCACAATTCAAATTTACAGTACTTTTGATGCCTAATGGACCTCATAAAATTACAGGAATTCCCTTTGATCTCGATATCTATCAGTCTGATTGTGTTGTGGACGATCCTGAATTGAAGGTAGAACATTATGATAAGGAAACTATGTAACAACTTTCTAATTATATTGTTATATTAATTATAATTAAAATTTTCAGAACCTTTTGTACTCTTCGGCAAATCCGAAATCGGCGAAAAAGAAGAAAAAGAAGGCCGAGAAAGCTGTAGATGTTGCAATGGAAGTCGATGCTAAGGCCTAACACTGTCATTTTCTAACACATACCATGACTTATATGACATCATGCACTATTTCAATATTTTTCATTTAGTGATTTAAGTAAAAGGCTGGACACTTTTTAAACACAAATCACTCAATATAATCATATCCTCGTTTAAATATTGCATTGATAAATTGCAAGTTGCATTGATGCCTTGCATTGTTATGCTCTTGCCATCAGCAATCGTCTGATATGTATCCACCTACTGACCTACTGCTTACTTTCCTTTCTTCTTCTTTACTTTCCTACTTATGCATTTCATCTATCCAACTTAAGTTCTGCCATTTGATGACATATTACCTATTTACCTTCTTTCTTTTCTATCTATGTACTTTATTCGAAAGTATCAAATTTTGCTGAGAATCAAACTTTATTATACATTATGTATGACAATTTCTCAATATTTAAGTTATCCAGAGTATACCAGAGTATCTTTTAATGTGGACCATGGTATTATTATTATTTATAGAGTGTTAATTATTCATATGACGATTACTTGCAATTGTAATGCATTACAAACTTTGAACTAACATTTTATATGTAACAATCTTGTGTGACAGTTTTCTATGGAACACTTGGATTGGCTAAGCTAAAAGAAGTGAATCGTATAAACTCAAGATATATTGAGGAATATTTTCGCTTTCCTATATTATAATTAAAATTATAAAATTGTATAGAATGCATTTCTCTTTATTTTATATACAGAGTGTTAATTATTGCTCATTAGGACATAATAAGAATCTTTGATTCTTGACGAAATATAAGCCGACAATTTTGTTCTGTGATGCTTAACAGAAAGAAAATTGTTATATTTAATCACACACATGGTGCCGTCGCTAAACAGATATATATCTATGAATCATGCTGCTGATTTATGTGACATTCGAGCATGGTTCATGTATATCTTTGTTTAAAAAACAATACTTTGTCTTTGTACGTAATTAGATGAATTTTAAAAATCCCTTACATTAAGGATTGGAAAAAAATGATTCAGGATTTTATATTTATTTTCATTAAGAAATATTATTATGTATTTAGTAAATGCGAATTAATTAACACCCTTGTATATAAAATGTACACACATATATGTATACATATACACTTAAAAATTTTAAATATCATAATTTTATGGATAAGCGAGTATATATTGCAACATCTGAATATTTGCACAAAATACGATTCACTTGAGTCCTATTTCTTTAGCCAATTTTATTTTGTGTCCAGCTATGAGAACTATACTATAATAACGTTTAATTACAAATTGTACAATTGAAAAATGTCCATTCTGGGACATTGCATAAACAATGAAATGCCAATGATTCATCAAGTGTTTCGTTGCGAAAATACCCCCTACCAACAAAAAAAAACAATTACTATATAAATTATACAAATCATTTCGACTCTGCACAGATTATAGATGTGTATGCAGTACATATTGTTAGGAGTTGGTTAAATTGATTAGATTGATAGAAACTGGAAATATATATATGATATTAAAGGAGACTTTATTTGAGCGAGATAAAAAAAATAGATTTTTACAAAAAATGGGGAGTAACATTGACTTGCCGATTCATCACAAGCCACAAATGCAAATGAATATTGTATAATAATAGTTTTATATAAGAGGGATAATGTATCTGTTATAGATATTTTTTCTACTCAAGTTGTGCATATGTCGAATGTTATAGAGTGTGCTTGTATAACAAAATATCATTGTGCACTAACCATCATTTGCCTAAATATCTTTCCACAATTAGAATCGCATTTATAAAATTTTTGGAATTTGTAGAATTTTTATAGTTTTCTAACATTATTAAATTGGATGAAAAGGAAAGATTAAGTTTAAAAAATTGCAATTAAAAAAAGATCTCTTTATATTTGAAATAAAATAAAAATAAAAAATTATGCAAATGAAGGCTGTGCACAAAATTTATGCAATATAAAATTTAATGTAATGATATGAAATAAAAAAATTGTTATAAAAATGCTTGATAATAAGCTAACAAGTATAAATTTTGACACATGCATATATTTCATGAATCATTATATATTACTCCATTTCTCTCTGTGAATGTAGTTAAATATGTAATACACAAAGTACTATATTTGTGTAGAAAGATAAAAGGAAAAGAACATTATCTCAATCTAAAGACTTATAATTGTACAAGCTGGATTTTATATTCATCATTATCATTATTTGTTAATAACTTTGCTACGATATATAATCTCTTATCAAAATGAAGATGTAATTACAGAAATATAGACTAATATTTACAATCATATCTTGATTGTTACAAATACTATATATATTTCTATATTTATTTATAGATTGAGACTATTATTATCAATCAGTTTTTTTACTTTTAATTTGAGAACTACAAAAAAATGCGATTAACAAATAATAAAATTACTGTACAATAAATTATACAATTAAAGCTCACCAACATTTTTGATATCTTATGTGACAAAATGACATTTCTTATGTAATCTCTGATCAAAATGAAAATGTAATTATAGCAATATAAAATAATGTTTATAATCATGTTTTTATTCAAACATTTTAAATATATTTCTATATTTGTTTATAGATTGATTACTACTACCGATCAACTTTTTTACCATATATTTTATTTCATTATTATTTAAAAATTACAAAAAAACCATTAATAGTGATTAACAAATAATGTTGCTATATATACAATAAATTACATACAATTGAAGCTTATCAATAAACAATTTGAATATCAAATATGACAAGATGATATATTTCTTGTATAAACATATATAGAATGAATAATGTGTGAGCGCATATAAAGGCCATTATATGTGAAAAACGTAACGGTAAGACGATAAACAAATCGATTAATCCTAAGCAAACAATCTTACAATATAATAAGAATGTAGCATGTGTGACTGTGATTGATCGATTTGCTTATAATTATTACAGTTATTAAAACTTTTTCATGTATAATAGTCTGTTTAAGCAATTTTTTACTTTATTGTTATATTTTCTTACATCTTTATCTTATATCTTTTTTAGTCTGCTTTAATATAAAATTAATTCAAATAATAAATACATATAGTGAGAAGAGAGGTGCGATATTTAAAAGTGAAATTTTCGGCATAGTTACTGTCGACTTATACTATCATTGTGTGAAAATTTTAATTTTAGAGTAACCGTATTGGGAGTTGTAATATCAGCAATATTTATTTCACTATCATCTTTTAAACCTAACTCAATCAGAGTTTTCGACAGATTCTCGCGAGTTTTTTGCTCGATACTGGATACTGTTTGTATGTACAGAGTTTTATTTTTACCGTTTATAATCGCTGTAAGACCGGGACTTTTCATTTGCAAATCTGGCCGTTCGCAAAGAAGTTCTATCAAATCTTGCAGTTTGTATTTTGAATCTTTGATCTCGAGCTCTCGCGGTACCTGACTACATGCCAGACAATTTTGTTTTTTCTCTGCTTCATAAGTGTATGTATAAACTCCATCCAAATTGTTGAGTACCTTCATAAGTAAGATATAAATATTTATCACTTTTTATTATATCATTGAAATCGTTATTGATATCGAATAACACGATTTGTATCTTATTTGAGATATAAAAATGTGTAAAAAATGATTTTGTTACCAAATTAGTAACTGTAAACCAAATTAATAGATTTTTATATACCTATACCAAATTATGTTGAGTCTTATTATATATATATATATATAATTACCATATAATTATTTAAAGATGCGCTACAACTGGTTGCAAGTTTAAAGGCTTCTGTCGCACAGATAGCGGCGATAACGGCATTGGTCGATGCCACAGCTGGTATGATATTCTTAATGATACCTTGTACAAGTCTGTATGTTAAACCTTGTATGCCAAACTGCGTCGCTCTTTCGTTTGACTTTTCATAAATCCAATTTATATGCTGGGGATCATCTCCATCAATCGCGCAATCGAATGGATTCTCTTTTGGCCATTGAATTACCTTTACATATTCTACACAATGCTCTGGTAAACGTGGAGTGTTGGCTATTGTACATAAAGGATATGTGACCTATGCAAAGTACAAACAAATGTTTTTAATATGTAAACAAAAAATGCATTGTTAATAATATTAAACCTCGAAATTAAATAAGGAAAATTATATTCACCTGTGGAGGATAGAGATCCAAGGTACATTCAATACATGGATTCATACCAGGCAATATAACTCTAGCGTTTCCCTTAAATCCTTCAGTTCCACCATCTATCAATGGTATGACACTACCTTGCTCCAATGTACCATTTTCATAGACAAGCAAAGATATTAGCATACCATTAAGCCATCTTCTTGCAACAATTGAGTCTAATCCACAGATTATCATATGAAACTGTTGGTAAAATGCTGCATCTTTAGCTTGTATCTCACAATTATGTGCAATTACATTGCAACCAGGTACTCTAGCATTAATAAATTTCGCAGCTACCTCCGCCTTGTAAGATCCAATATCTTTATGACGAAATAAGAATTGTCTGTGTAATATATAATCATTTTTTTTAATGAAAAATGTTTATAAACAAATACTTAATTTTATTTTACAGATTATATAAGGATTTTTTTTCTAGAATAAAAACATAAAAAAAACACTGAGAAAAGATCAAGTATAATAATAACATTGTACTTTTATGAAATCTGAGATATTTTTTGTAACATAACCTTTCTTACCTGTTGAGGTTAGACAATTCGATAGTATCCATATCAATCACATGGATATGTCTAAATCCCATAAGAGCCAAATTTTTTAATAACTCGCATCCTAAACCACCAGCACCTACTACGAGCACTTTGCAGCGCTCTAGGAGCATCTGTAGATTTTCGGAAGACGGCTCAAAATCCGGCCGGCAAAATGGACCAGATCTCTCCAATACTTTTCGCAAATTACTCCATCGTCTGTGCGTATAATCAGAGCCCATTGTCGCAAGATAAATAATTCGGATAACAATATAAATTTGGGGTTAATGAACCAAGTGTCACTTAAATGTTAGAACACGTCTCCTCTGACTCCTTTCTTGTCTGGCTGTTTTTTTTTCTTCTGTTCGGTTTTACTCCTTTAAAATATATATATATATGTATTGCATTTTATAATATCTGTTATTATATCAATTATAGATAATTATACAATTATAAATATACAGGAACACATACATATGTACATTATACATACATACATACATAGAGCATTTCTTCGCTTCTATGGCTGATTGAATTCCTTTAGATAGAGAGGAGCAAAAATCCATAGACTTGTGTCATAATACATAAAATACATAGAAGATAGAAGTCCTCAATTTCGAAAAATTATCTACCATAGACTTAAGAGTTAACAGAGAGAGACTCTCCATTAATGCTTAGTAAACCTTTACTTTGGCAGACTCTATTTTCATAAAAATTTCAAATATTTAATTACTTTTATGATTTTAATAATCTTTTGTTACTAATTTATATATATATATATATTTTGAAGCAATTTGTGTAAAAAGTTGTTATTTTGGTTAGAGAAAATATATTTGACGTTTTATACAAGTATAATAACAGATAACTAAGTTTAAAATATATGTATAAAAAAAAATGAAATTTCTTGAAGAGTCTGTTTTTATTTTGTTTAGCTAGAAATTATATAGTTAGATTTATTAGCTAGATTTTGATCATCAAATATTATAACTATAAAAATCTATTCTCAGTTTGTTTCACTTGTCTATAATTACTGCTCATGACTCTCTCAGATTATTATTTTTATAGAAACATAGAGAAAAGTGCATTCTTGTTTATACGATTCTTTCTTATTTGTATGTGTAACAACTTTTTATTCTATGTATTCTAAGATCAAAATATGCAAGTAGAAATTAGTGAAAATTGAAGGGAAATTATAAAAAATCCTTAAAGTTCCACAAAAGAAAATATATAGAAGTTTCACTGTAATTTGCAACACTTAAGAGCTCATTAAAGAAGACATTAGTAATTCCATTTTATTGAGGAAATTTTTCCCTTCCATCTTGTCCCATCTGACTTCCTTAAACGAACCTCCCAAATTTTCCCATTTTCTTTCTCGAACAAGTTGGCCAGGAAAGAAATCCTTTCGGGGAGAATGAGCAATGGCAACTTGCACGCCCATTTGTGGTTCGCATCGTACAGCTATCATCCTATAAATATAATTATGTAATCACAAATAACATTAACAGAAAAATATTTACATTAAATTGAAGTATATAATAATATACCTGTCACCGATTGGCGAAGCTAAAATACAACTACTAGCATTTCCGAGAGGTTCTACTGAACCTAGACCAAGATGTGAGCTGTTTGCTAAAAACTGCCAACCCATGCATTTTGCCAGAGCTTGTACTGCATTTATTTGATGTTGATAAATCTATATATATAAAAAAAATTTTGATACTATTTTATTAAAAAAGAAAAATTATAAAATTTAAAAGTTTTATACTATTGTCATTTTTAATAAAAAAAGTAAAGAGGATTAACCTGGCAAAAAATTAGATCCCTCAGCTCTTGGGGTTCATAACTCATATGCATGACTCTACCATCACGACATACGCACTTCAATGATTTTTCACCAACGTGAACAATCATTGTCGTCCGGCATACGCTATCGTATCCATGAGTCAAAATGTTAATTTTTACACAGGATTGTGTCGGTGAATTTAATGCGTTCCAGTGTGAAACAATAAGAGGATCTTTCACTTCTTTCGCTATCGTGTCTAATACATATTCCGTGCGCAAACGCATGAAAAAATGTTGTGCCTGTTGAATAATCTGTTCTAGTAACGTTTGACTTTTCGTCATTTCTAAAAGCTCGTATTTGTCGGCAGCAGTAGGGCCAGCTAAATATCTGCGTTTACTAGGCCCAAGTGGACCTGAGGCAGGATGAGGAAATGGATGTTGGCTATTTTTATAATGTACTTCACGCAATAGTTGATGTAAAGAGTGTTCTAACACATGATCGTGATCCGTTTTATGCGGTGGTGGAGCAACAGGTTTCTTGTCGCTGCCTGTACTGTGGCATAGACCAATTATTAATTGAATTCCGGGAAGTACCTAATATAATAAATGAAATGCTTTATTAAATATATATCACTATCATTCAATTTAAATTAAAAATAGCATAAGATTTATAGAAATTCTCTATTTTTTAATTGTAAAATACATACTGTGGCCATTATCTGGTTTCCAACAACCATGTGAGGTATAGGCGCGCGTAAATGCACGGCTTCCCGTGCCAATTGACTAAATAGTTCTTTGCAAAATAGAACGTTTTGTGCAGCCTCTAATTTTTGTTGCCAATGCATATCGGCATTTGAATTATTAGTATTGCTGTTAAGCAAACTTATATTCGCATTGCATAAATCTTCTTGATCTAAAGAAATTTATACATGCTCATTTTTTGCAACATGTATATTATATACATTGTATATAATTAGATATAATATATATCTTTAGACGAATCTTTTTCTTCTTTCAGTCACATTACCTTTCTGACATAATACTTCAATATAAGCAACACCTTGCAATTCGCTAGGTATGGTCACACGTAAGGCAGACATTTTTGAATTTGAAGAAATATGAGATTGCCCTGACATATTATTGCCAGCATTAGGGGATGCTGGCGGACTATTACTATTTTTCTCTTCTTCTTCAGCTTTCGTGACCTCAAACATGCCCATTTGTGTATATTTTGAGCCAGCTAGAATATAAATATAGCATAAATTTTTTAAACAAATATTAAAATTACAAAAAATAGATACTGACCAGTTCGATAACTAAGATCACCAATAATAGAGTTTGACACTTTCTTCAAACGCCAATTTTGTCGTAATCTTAATAATTCAATATGAAAGTCAGGAGTGGATTTTGTTCTAGCTAATTCAGCTTGACAATTTCGCAGTCTTTCAGCACCCAGCATAAGGACTGTTGCTGCTCCTGCCAATGCCTTTTTCCTAGCATATACTTGTATCATAGGTTTTACTTCAACTGGTTCTTGAGGTACTGGATCTAATACCATATAATTTTTTTCTTTTGCTATTGCAAGTACATCAGCCAACACACAAACTTCCGTCAAGGCATTCCTACAAAAAAAAAAAAAATTCAATTCAATTCTTGGATACAACAAATTATTATGTGTCTAATTATCAAATTGGAAGACTCTAAGATACAAAAAAATATAACAAACCTTAATTTATTTCTAACACTATCCCAAGGCCATAAAGAAGATTGAAATGAAGTAGAATCTTTCATATCTTCATCGCCTTTTTCACCTTCTATTTGTTCCTTCTTTATCTCCTCACCATTTGTTTTATTAAAGTCAATTTTTTGAGCAATTTTCGCCAAGTTCTCCGACAATGTGAGGGGCCTGTGGCATAATTAATAAATATAATATATAATGTCATTTAATAATTGTATCCAATTTTTCAATCAGAGGTTAATTACAAAATGTATTTATAATGCACACTTAATATCCAATTAAAATTGGATTAATCAAACAATGTTTAACATGCTCCCTATTATTTCCAAAATTATTACATACGCTTGATAAATTTCTTGGCCATCATAACTGATTTCCTGTATTTGGTTTTCAATCGGCGCTTCTACAGAAATATTCACGGAATACGCCATTATTGTTTTCGTATGTCCGATGAAAGGAGAAGGGATACGTTCCGATTCCCCACCTGAATGTACTCCGACCATAGACACCTACATGTTGCTAGATTGCTAACTTCCCAAAATCTCGTTTCAATCAAAGTTTCATTTTATATATGGATATGTATATAAAGTATATAAAGTACGTTTTTCTGCGCATATGTTGATGGCACACATTTGTATTTATATAAATATATATGTTATATAAATTTATATATAAACATGCTATATAAATTTATTTACGATATAAAATGATTATTAATATGCATAAATTATTATATGTATAAAAATATTTTGCAAATATTTTAAAAGAGGTAATAATAATATGCAAAATATATTTTGTACAAAAATTATTTTTATTGTCATATGAAATATAATGAACTGGATAATAAACTGTTGCAAAATGTGATAAGTTAAAATTAAATGAATTAAATTTCAAAAGATATATAGGTCATAGTAATTATCTTAATCATCGGTGGCTTTTTTTTTATTTATATACATAAATAGACAATTTTTCTCTTGGACTTTAATTTCTTCGTTTCTTCATTTAATCTAGTCAAGGAATTCAATTTTTAAGAGATGTGAATTTATGCACAAATATATATCTTATTTAATGTAATTAAATATTATTAATTATGCATACATGTGCGCGCACGCGCACCACACACACACACACACACACACATACACACACACACACACACAGAGATGCGTGTAATTACACATATATTTTAATCCTTTTTTTTTTCTTTAGACACACGAGAAAAAAATGTACATTTCAATGTCATGCTTCAGATACAAATGCTGTTTCTGTCTAAAATTTTTTGCTAGATCAAGGAATGGACCAATATAACAAAAATGTTTAATGTTGAAACCTTTAAAGGTCACTCTACATTAATCGCAAATAGCCAATTGCATGAACGCAAGCAATACTATTATTATGCGAATAATGTAGATCTTTAGAAAAAAAACGATTGCGAAAATTTCGGATACATTTTTTGACATATCCTCAAACTGTTAGCACCACTACAAAATTCATCATTCACTTACAATATTTACCAACAATATTCCATATCTACAATGTTTTGTATAGGCTTAATAATTTGTAAAAAGTATGCTTATTTTTTAAACGCATTTTTACGTATATCATATAATGAAGCAAAGAACAATTTTCTTATAAGACTAGCACGTAAATGGAGAAAATGTTTTTTATTACAATGCTCAAAGATGGAATTATTAGTCAATCATATATTAAGTAACTTTTATAAACTCTCAGTTTCTTTGAAAATGGAGAATTGAAGTTTGTATCCACCCACCTGCAATTTTGAACGCGAGTACAGTTGTTATCACTAATACTATGTACGCGGATAAAAGACTGGCTGCATATGCCTGATAACGATTGAGCAAGGTCATACACGAGACAAACAGATGCGTTCCAACTACCCAGATAATGTGTCCCCAATTTTTTTTGTCCAGTGCAGAAAAAAAAATGACACCCCAGAATGTATGTAGTAAAATGAAGCACAGTGTGGTGGCAGCTGATATAATGAAGAAGTACTCAGTGCCTTGCAAGAGTCCCATAGTGCCAGGGCCGACTGCATCAGCCAGGACATTAACTAAAGCAAAGGCACCACTCATGAAGCCAAAACCTAAACCACACACATAAGCAAATATGTGTCTGCTATCTGCCACGTGCGTTGTTGTAACTTTCTCCAAGCCTCTCTCGGCCTTACGCAGTACCCAGTAAAGCAGGTACCTTTAAAAATATAAAACAATGATAAATTCTATAAATGCATACACACATGTAAAATACATATAATTATTCTTAAATATACAACTGAATCAACTCAGACATCAGAGTGTAAGAACTACCTGAAACTCTCCTGGAACAATACGGAAAACACTAGTCCAAATGCTAGATTCTCCTGTAGAGGAACAACGGCGTACCAAAGTATAGATGACAGGAGCAAGGAAATAAGCCAGAAAAAGGCGCTGGCGATCAGAATAATTATCCTGATGGGTTCAGCAGCAATGGTAAATGTAAACATTGCTAGTGGCGGGCCAAAAGCCAAGAAGGCGCAACCAAAGAAGTCCATAACAGTCATTTTTCTTTTCTTTTATAGTCACGACGCTGAGTTGTGAATACTTCTGTTACTGATCTCTTTCTTTCGTTAATTTCTCGTCAAATGTATTGGCAAATGCTTACAATTCTAAGAAGCCTTTGTACGGCTGGAATATTCCCTTTTATCGGCATTTATTTTCCCGGTAAGATGCGCAGTCTCGAGCTTAACAAATAATTATACTAATTTATTTTAAAAACTATATAAAAACTTATGCATGTTAAAATCACTCACTCTCTTTGTGATAACGAAATTGGTTCGTACATGCCATGTATTGAATATGTTCGAAAATAGCCCTAGTTGCTGCAATATTGCGAGTTGAAGAGATAAGTTTCGCGCATGAGTAAGAACATAAGCACTAGCAGACATCATAGTGTATATCTCGCAATATCTTGTGCGGTAAGCCTAATAAAAAATACTAACAAGTCAGCCAATCAGATTACGCATTGAAATTAAAGATTGAAATTTTGACTAATCAGAATAAAGAGAACTAGTTTCTTTATTCTGATTGATTACATTTCAATTTTAAATATATAGTCTCTATTATAGGAACTCTGGACAATTGTGTTCGATAATGAGAACTTTCCAGCAACGACACAGAGCGACACAGAATATCATTCTATCTTTGTTGTTTACTGATATTGAAAGAAGATAGAATGATACGCTGTGTCGTTGTTGGAAAACTCCCAATGTCTTCCGCGCCTGCGCAAAAATCTTGTCCATAGAGATTTGTTCCTGCAATTCGTAACCGAATTATTGCCCATAGATATGATAAAATACATAGATGGGAACTTTTCTACAGTAGAGACATCTGGTATGCGTCAATTGTTCGGAACCAATGGCCGCATTCAGCGGACTCAACAATTGGGCAACATTACTAGATTTTCCGATGTAATTTGACGCTGATTGGGTCGGAATTGAAAGTAGAAACCAATCACGTTCGATTGCTACTTAGCGGTTGAGTCTGCTGAATGCGGCCAATGAATTGGGGAGCATTTGATCACGTGACGATTGACCACAGCCAATTATATCGATCTGTGCCTAGGGTAGCCAGCAAGGATTGACCAATCAGAGAATCCTATTTTGAATTGGCCAATTGGCGACATGGACACCCAGTGAATTGAAAGAACAAATCGCACGCATGCGTGACAACGCAAGTGCAAGACATTCTTCAGTCACGTACATATTTGGCTGCAATAAAGATTGCTATTCCTCGCAGGAAAAGGTAGGAAATATTAAATATAATAAGAAGAATATAATAAGAAGATAGAAATATAGTGATAAGAGCAGGAGATTCCTATCAAATGAATAATGTTAAATTTTATATTATGATAAACGGATTTATTATAATTTATTGCGTCTGCAGTCGAAAAAATATGCAAATGTCGACATTTGTTACTAAGAGGAAAATTACAAAAATCTTTTATTAGTATTATAATAAATTACACCAATTATAGATATACTATAAATTATTTAAGGGATTACTTAAGATTTAATTATAAATTATTATATCAAATATTTAATAGCAAATTAAATTAGGATATTAGTAATGTAAATATTTTATAGTAAAAAATAAATATTTAACATTTTAACTGAAAACGTTAAATTACATATAAAAAGAGAAAAAATTGAATAATATATAATTTTATATTTTAAAACGCATATAATTGAAAGTCTTTTTATTTATGGCAGTCTCTAAGAAGTTTCTAGAAGGACTAAATTACAGACTAATAACACAATCTCTTAAAACACCTTCTTTCTAAATAAATATAATTATTAAATTTATGTAAAAAATAAAAAAAATATATATTAAAAAACTTTTACTTTTATATAATATATTAATATAAATATTACAACGTAAAATAATATGTAATTGTGAAACAATAAGTTGTGCAATATTTAATGAATAAACATAAAAATTTAATAAATGAAACATGAAGAAATTAAACAAAAAATTATATTATAATTTTGATTTAGAATGATCTTTCTGAAATTTATTCTTTTCTTATTATTTGTCAAAATTTAAAAAATACAATTACACTTTTAATAATATATATGCAGAAGAAAGTATATAACAAAAAAAAAAGAAATATATATACACAGTTATATATATACACAATTATATACGAGAAAAAATATCAAAAAATAATATTAATTTATGTACAAAAAAATTAACAGCTTATTAAAAAAATTAAGTCTTCATTTTCTATTAATAAGTGTCTTCGTCACATTTTGCCTAGATCCCCTTTATCATGTCGAATTTTTTCTTTTTCAGCTGCAGTGACTTTGCACTCGCCGTGTGCATAAAATCTACCGTCTTTCTACAGGGCCTCAATTAGCGCGCTCTTGCTTTTCGCTTCTCTCTCTCTCTCTCTCTCTCCCTCTCTCCTTCCGTCTCTCTCTTCACATTCTCGCTGCCTCGCGCTCACGCGAAACTGCGAACGGAAGAAACGCGAGAGTGCATCGTGCATGATTCAGTTTGACTGCGTCATTCGCGCTCGCGCGTGTCGCTACGATTTTCGTGTGTGCGTGCACTCTTATCGAGGTAATAGCTCTTCGCTCTGGTACTTCAAGGTTATCAAGCACAAACAGTAATTATTCGGAAGAAGAATAATGTGGGCTGGCCAAGACGATACGCAAAAATTCCAGACCAGGTGAGTTTTTTTTTTACTCGCATGAACGCGTACACTCGCGTGCCAACTTTTACGGTTGTGTCCGTCGATTTTCTCTCTTTCTCTTAACAATTGTTCGATGATCCGATAGCTTTGACTTTCTCCTTATTGCGATCCACGATCGGTTTGACGACTTGGTGTTAATATACGGATAGACACGTGTAAGATTTTGTGTCTGACATTTTATTTGAGTCGAATTCGTTTTTGAAAAATATTATTTCAGAAATACCTGAAAGCTTTTTACTAATCATAAAGTGATTTTTAGATAAGGATTTAATGACATTTTGAAAAACATTGAGCAGTTATTCCGTGTTATATCTGGATTTAAAGAGAGGGGTTAACGGAAAAGTGTAGCAAAAAGTGTTTCCTGAAATCAGGCGCTTTCAGAAGCGTGACTCATCCGATCGAACGAACTGTCAGCCCCGAAATATCGGGTCAACGACCGAGGGTCGATGTTTGCTGCGATGTTTATTCGGTGATATTTTTTTATTTTAAATGGAAGAATTAAATTTCTTTCGTGAGATAGTATCTTGTGCGATATTTCAAGGCGAGGAATAAACGCAATTATAATTAATTAAATGTAATGTATATTATACATCGGGTCCCAAATTTTGAAATAGCGCGTAAAATCCCCTTCCACACATGCTAAACGCACGTGAGTAACATGAGGAAGGGTAGGTATATACGGATGCAAAAACGGGTATCTGTTTCTCAGTGATGTACCAGGAAATAATGAACGAAACGATATATTGCTACGGCCCTGAATTTCTAAATTATATCTATATTTTTACAATTTATATTATATTATATATAATATTTTATTAAAATTTATATTATTACAATATTATTACAATTATAATTATATACATATTTATTTTCTTCGACTTTTTAGCGCTAATGAGCTTGGGGATGCATTATATTTTGGATCATAATAATTTCGCGATTCCAAAGCACGTGAAAATTATGTATATGATTATTAATAAATATTATAACGTATAAATTTCGACTAACATTACATATTTGATAGATATTGCATTGCATATTGTACTTATTTGAAGTTCCTCATTAGATTTAATTTAGTCATTACGATTTTTTTATATATTTACAATCATATTTCGATATTCAAGATCTTATTCTCTCGAAATTTGAGGTAGATTTTTTAATGATATATAAGAATTTGATTAGGATAAACTAAATAAAATAAACTTTTTTTATTTATCAATAAAAAAAATTTTAAAACAGTTTTATATTTAAAATTGATAAAAACAGAGAAATATGTTTTTTTCTTTTATTATTTCTTAAAAAGAGGATTATTTCTTAAAAATTACTGCGGTAGAAGAAACTCCGGATATTCAGGCGATTATATGATCTCTCTCTCTCTCTCTCTCTCATGCTTACATTTAATTAAAGTTCGTAATTATTTCAGCAAAGCGCCATTTTCTTCTATTCCGTTATCTCAATTAATAATGGAAATATATTATATTCCGTTACCTCATTTAATAATGGAACTATATCATCGATGTATATTAATGTAATTCCCGTTAATTTTTTAATTAGTAAACTTCATTGAGGTTGACTTCATATTTTTTTATCCGTTGACGTCGAAAGATTTGTCAGATCGTATCAGCGATTACTAAAAAATTACTTATCTTAATTTGTGCGTAATTATCACCTTTTCGGCACTGATGCGTATACCTTTATATACGATCCATCGCATTAAATGCTACGTTGTATATGTGTATGTGTAATATACACATGTATGTGTTCGGACAAAGAAACGCGAAGTAAAAGGCCGGAATCACGCTTCGGCATGCGTGGCGTTTTCGCGAATTCCTCCTTCGTTCAAGACTCTTGGCGAACCTACACGAGCCCGATAACGGAAATTATTCTATACATAGGTACATCCTTGTATCAAGGGACATATAAGTGTCTCGTGCCATGTGCAACGACTTTACATATAATAAATAGCCCAGGTTCGTACCTATACCTTGCTGAGAAAACCTTAGATTATTTCGTTGCTAAGAGTTAGATTAACCATTTTTTGAGTAAAAATATAATTTAAAAAAAAGAAAAATATACTTTTATTTTTCATATCGTATCTGAAATTTTTCTTAAAATTTTTGGTCGATTTATATGATTTTTCAAAAAATAATCGTTCGATACACACTTCAATTTTTTTGTACAGATAAAATACATATAAAATATTTTTATTTCTAATCTGAATCAAGATTACTACTGATATATTTTCAAATTATATAATTTGTATAATTGCAAAGCCAAGTTTTTGACGAAAAATCGATATTTTTTAAAATTGCACTATTCTAACAATTTACAATAATTTTCTTTTATTTTGATTATTACATTTATAATTATTCATAAGTTTTTTAATTTTTTTATATCAAATGAATATTACTAGAATTATACATGTTATCCAGAGCACGATACATATATCTTTAAAATACTTTCATCAAAATTATAAAACGTGAAAAATAATTAACATCTAGCTACATTAAATTTGTGGAGATCTATTTATATATTTTAAATATGAATATAAATATGTATGTGTAAAACTTTACACACCAATAAGTATGCATGTGTGTGTGTATACATACAATTAATATTTTTAAAATTAATTAAATCATTTTCTCATCGATTTATACTGCGCGACATGT